TGGATGAAGATTGGTGGAGAGATAGATTAGAACATAGAAAGGACATAGGATACTTAATTCTGTTCGATCGAAACAAAAAAAACTTAATAAACTCCAATATTTTGTTATTTACGGCCTCTAGGACGGAATACAGTTCGCCCGGTCAGCTATACATATATTACTAATGACGAAATTAACGCGGACGAAGTCCGGACAAAAACTAGTCATATACATAAAAGAATATATATATGTTTTTAAATAATTTCTGAACATATTAAATTAATATAATCTTTGTTTGTCTGAGTTTTGAAGGTGAGATCAAGAGGTCAATAAGAAAAAAGTTATTTCAGAAATATGTAGATTATTTACTTGTGATATATATGTTTTTTGGAATTTCATTAATATATATTTTACCTTATTTTTGGTAACTTTATACGTAACTAGCTTTCCGCCCGCAGCTTCGCCCGCGTGGAGTTCGGTTATATCGCGTTTCCAAGAGAACCCTTCAAAAGTCTGGTATAAAAACTATCCTATGTTCTTTCTCAAGGTCAACTCTATGTCTGTACCAAAATTCATTTTAATCAGTTCAGTGGTATAGCGTGAAAGCGTAACAGACAGACAGAGTTACTTTCGCATTTTTAATATTAGTAGGGATGATAATTTAACCAATGTATCAATATTTCGCTCTTAGTACAAGTGCATCGTTACTACATACGATGCGTTTTACGTTTTCAATAACCTACGTTAAAATTATGTGATTTATGAATGAAAAACTTTTAACTTGTGTATATACTACATATCTTCTTATATATAAAATTCTCGTGTCGCGGTGTTAGACAGAGAACTCCTCCGAAACGACTGGACCGATTAGAATGAAATTTTGTGAGCATATTGAGTAGGTCTCAGAATCTGCCAACATCTATATTTCTTATCCCTAAGTCATAAAGGTCGTTCACCCCTAATTCTTTTTTGGACGAAATTTTTGTTTTTATTTTTTTATATTGTAGCCTTAAAAAATACATATAACATAAAATTTTTACTTTCTTTATCAGCAACCCTTATTTTTTTATATGGGAAAACAACGTATGCCGGGTTGGCTAGTACATATAATTAGTAATATAAATTTAGGTACAATTTCGTAAAAAACAAACATACATGACGTCATCAACCTCACGATCACTTTCACCACAGTGTCACATTGCTTGAGTTTTATCAGTCGGGGTCCAGCCGATAGCGTTATCAGGGTCGAGGTTAAAGGAATTACACCGCTAATTGATGTAGTACATGATTTATTGCGTGCTGGCGGCGTGGTGGGCTCTGCTCTGGCTGACCCCAAGTTAGCGTCACTACATACGTAGCGTTAACAGTTTTTAATTCATGAATCTACACATATTAAGGTACTAATGTAATTGAAAACGTGAATTGCCTCGTATTTAGAGATAAAGTATAAATCGCTATTAATATTATAAATGCCAAAGTAACTCTGTCTGTTACGCTTTCACGACTAAACCACTGAACTGATTTTAATGAAATTTGGTACAGAGATAGAGTTGATCTTGAGAAAGAACATAGGATAGTTTTTATATCAGACTTTTTAAAGGTTCTCTTGGAAATGCGATATAACCGAAGCTGCGGGCGGAAAGCCAGTTTTACATAAAAGTATAATCTGATTTTTAAGTTTATTTTACATCAAAATGAATTCAGCATCTATAAATGTATCCAAAGTGTCACAAAACTAACATTAATTCAAATCTTTATATATATAGACGGACAGACAGAGTTACTTTCGCATTTATAATATTAGTAGAGATATAACATTCTATTATATTAAAAAGCATACTATACAAATGTATTAATGTGTTCACGAAGAAACTACAGTGAGTACGAGTAACTCCGAAGTATTAACCTAAACGACTGTAAAGTTTCATCCGAATCGGTTAAGTAAAGACAAACATACATATATCAAAAGTGACATTTAATTTGATATTATAAGTCCAGGTTTCCTCATATTTTCCTTCATCAGTCAGTGGTGTCTAAATACTCTTATAAAGTTCATATGACTGGGAACAATCACATTGGTACTTGCCAGGTGTCGAACCAGCGCTTCAAGCACGAGAGGCGAGCCTTTAGCTACTGGGCCACCACGTACTTAATAAATATAGGCGATAATTAGTGTTATACGAAAAAAGAAAATTCAATTTCCAAAACTTAAGAAGCTATTCAACAAAATTTTAGAAGCTATACATTTGCATTTGACATTTTCCATCTATATATACTTAGAGTATACTAGGCAGACCTTGGCTAAAGCTGGGGAATTGCCAGGAAGAAGATATACTTAGAGTATGAGGTCTAGATGTTATACTTTTAAACTATCAGTTTTCACGTCATCACGTAGTAAGCTTATTAAATCAATTCTTATTATCAAATATAATAGTAACTTCAAATAGTCTGCAATCAAAATACACACAAACGTTTCGTGATGCGTCACCACGTAAGTACTATCGGTCTGTAAGTTAACTACGGAACACGTAGTAAGGGCAGCATTAAAGTATAATAGAGCATTAACGCATATATAAGTTCGGAAAGACAATATCAAAACGCTACTATTTTTTTAAGTCTATCAGAGTCTACTGCTCAGCAAAGGCGTCTTTCTCTCATGGAGAAGGTTAGAGCATTAATCACCACGCTTGCTCGAGACGGGTTGGTGATTTCAAACTTATAATTTGATATTTTAAGTCCAGCTTTCCTCATATTTTCCTTCATCAATCAGTGATGTCTAAATACTCTTATAAAGTACATATAACTGACAAATCACATTGGTACTCGCCAGGATCGAACCCGCGCTCTCTGCAACTAGAGGCAGGCCCTTTAACCACTAGGCCACCACTGATTTACTAGGCTACTATTTGCATGTAATGAAATATTTCCAAGGTATTTATTCTCAAAAGATACAGCTTACAGCTGGAAAAGATAATTTCCAGGTCGTTATGTACGAAGCTAAGACCTGGAATTATGATAACACCTAAAACTGGAGGTGATATTAGGTAGTTTATACACCTGGAACTACTAGTGCAGGTGTACAAAATATATTGGAAAAAAATCATGATTAGTTTTTAACACCTGGACTATTTTGAGCGAAAAATATACAGGCTCTGTCGTAAGTGATAAGGCTTGAAAACCTGGAGATTAAGACCTGGAAGATTATATGGGAGGAACAGCTCCATAATAATGAGATAAGATTATCGCGAGTATTCATTTAAATGAAACTAATATTTTTCGGATGTTGACGTGATTTTTATTTTTGAGCATAAACTAGGTACATACTCTTTTCTCTATAATAGGATTTTTTTCATTATTGTATAGATATTTTAGTTAATTTATTAATATTATAAAGTTTAAGCGTCTGTCTGTTTGTTATCATCAATCTCAGTAACTCTAGGTCCAATTCATATTACTGACACACACATGAATGTCCTTATGTATGAGACACATTATTAATAGGAGAAGGGTATTGTTTGAAAATTATACGAAATCGAAAGAAATGTTACATATTTATATCTTCTTCTACCTGGCAATTTCCCATCTTTAGCCAGAGTCTGCCTTACATGTGAATAGTTGTGGCTAATTGTTTTTATGACCCGCCGCCTGCCTGACATCAACCCTCTTTGGGAATGCATTAATCAGTGGTGTCTAAATACTCTTATAAAGTACATATGACTCGGAAAAATCACATTGATACTTGCTAGGATCGAACCCGCGCCCTCATGCTTGAGAGGCGGACCTTTTAACCACTAGGCCACTGACTTGTGATAATATATTACTATATATAAAACATATATTTTATATACTTCAACGCTACATATTATGTCAGAAACAGATCTACGGGAACATAGTCGCGGTCATGCACTTGTATGTCATATATTATATATAATTATCAATTTACAAACAACGAGAACACCATAGATATCGTTACAGTCGTATTTTTGAGTTACATTTTGATCGTCAGACATACATGTATATACAGAACCTTCCGTCTTTAAAATCGGTACTGACAATAATTTTTATTTCTAAATAATTTTAAAAAGGTGCACATATGTTGGTATACTCTTGATATTTTACGATGTATGTATGTCTTTACGAAATAACACCTAATCTTCGTTTCTATTAACTTTATATGTATTTAAAAATTATTTATATATGTATGAACGGAATTATTATTTGATAAACAGATGTTTATAAAATTTGGTATCAAATTATTTATAACTACTTAATAATCAATAAATATAACTTTATTTCATAAAATCAATGAAAAATATTGATTTTTTTAAAGTTAATGTAGACTAATATTCTACATAGCTCTATAGTAAATACGTATAATAAATTTTGTATTAATTTTTAAGTGAATTTGTTTTTATATATTACGTTTGCTTTGAGATAGAATATGACAATGTCTGTTTTTTATATTTATCAGTTGCGTACACCTAATAACAATACTGAGAGACAAACTGGTTTCGTTATAAGCAAAACGAGTATATTTTTTCCTATACCTGACCATACGTTAGCTCGCCACCCACTTTTTTACGAATGTTGTTGTTAAAATTTATTGTTTTATAACATTTCATGATTCTCCATTCACAATACACAGCTGAACACAATTTACCTGGCGGGCATAGCTATAGGAACATTGTAAACATTCCCTCCAAAAAAAAAAGCGACGCACAAAAAAGGGGTTAGAGACCTGTTCGGTTATTGTGAAAAAATTATGAGAGAATACGAGGGGTAGACCTCCGTACCTCTTGGGTTCAATCAGCGGCCGCCCCACAAGTAAAAAACCATCGCACAGGGCGGAACACCCAGCATAACTGCTAACAAATAACACTGTTCACTTACAATGTTCCGATTGCCTTTCTTCCTCATACGATCATTGCACGCCTTTTATACATTTAACTATTTTAAACTACACTACACCGTCACTGAATCCTCACGCGCACAGACATCGAGCTTTCGAGTTCTTTTTTTTTTTGGAAGCGTTGTCGCGTGCCGCGTCGCCGGCCGGCGGGAAGAGAGACTCGCGGGCGCAGGTGTCTGCCGTCGTGGCAGCTCCCAGTGTTTGTTTTGTGAATGTTTTACATTATTTCACTGATTATTTATTGGTATCCCAGCGTCCGTCTCATGACAGCGTCGTAGCGTCGCGCATCGCATGGGTCGCGATAGGTACGCGCGGCACGTCTCGCTCAATCTTACTGGCTAGAGCGTCGGGCGGGGCGCTCCGCGGCGGGGGACGGTCACTGCTTTACCGACGACACTGTACTGCTTTACCTATATTCTGGATAGGTGGCGCAAGTAAAATTTATAAACTCCAAATAACTATTCGGCCTCATGCAATACATATAGCACTACTGACATTACTCACATATCTTATACCATTAAAAAATTAAATAATTTAAGCAAATAAATTTTTGAACTCTTAATCGGCAAAGATTTTAAAAGCAGACTGAAAAAGTACAAGTAGTGCCATCTAGTGGTGAAATTGTAATACTTTTCCTACTCACAGATGGCGTTGGCGTCGCTTTATTTTGAATCGATATCTTTGGTGCACAAACTGAAAACTTGTTTGGGTTAAGAGAATCCTGTGGGCTCGTTGAAGCCGAGTTGGTTGTCTTAGAGTATTCATCTATTACATTTCAATACATTCAACAGTAGCTGCTCTATAATATTATCTTGAAACATAAAAGAATTTTGTAAGTTTATATACATAAGGAGAAATATGTATCTTTATATAAAATTAATATTGTTATGACCATTGTTTTTTTTATCGTAATTGTACAATTTTATCATTATGCCTAATACATAATATGAATCTTATATGTAGTTTTTATTTTTTAATTATTACCAGGAGTAGGTAAACATAAGTACATGACTTTCGTTCCACAACGCTATGTACCTAGCTATGTATTTTACGTAAATGGGACGTCTAAAATATATATGTACTACATAAATATATTCTATTATAATTAATTATATATTAATATTGATAAATAAAAACCTATAGCATATTTAATAATTAATAAAAAGTGTCTATCAACCTCTGTTCTTGACGGCACCGGAAAGTATATTTTAAAATTAATTTTATGTATATAATATATCGCATCTATTATATTTTGTTTTAAAAAGTAACACCTTCAACATTATAAGCTTGAAAAACTTTTAACTTGTTACATATTTTCTGTAAAAATAAAACTTTTCGTCCAAAAATCTTTTAAACAAATTTATTATACATTAATACAATGCTTGTAAAAATACTATACATTCACACTTTATATTTCATATATAAGAATGTGTTCAATTAAAAACCTTTTTTGGTTAAATTAATAGTCTTTACGCCTTAAATGTAAAAAAGTCTCTGTTTTGACTTTCTCAGTACGTAACTATTTTTTAATATAAACAAATTAACTTTTATTACACACGCAAAACTAAAAACACTACTAACTAAAGGCCTCTTTCTCACATGGAGAAGGTTTAAGCATTAATCACCACGCTCGCTCAAGACGGGTTGGTGATTTCAAACTTATAATTGTGAAACTATAAGTCCAGATTTCCTGACGATGTTTTCCTTCGTCAGTCAGTGATATCTAAATACGCTTATAAAGTACATATGATTTGGAAAAATCACATGGGTACTAGCCAGGATCGAACCCGCGACCTCATGCATGAGAAGCAGGCCTTTAACCACTAGGACACCACGGCCACATTCACCACTTTACTTTTTCTCAATTTATTAGAAACCTACCAAGATCAACATAATTCAGCAAGTCATGTACAGTTACTTAAATCAGCATATAACTGTTATTGTTTAAAAAAACTGTTATTATTTAAAAAAACTTATGTAACCGTCATTATCTGTGAGTATTATCCCTACAAATATTATAAATGCGAAAGTAACTCTGTCTGTCTGTCTATCTGTTACGCTTTCACGCCTAAACCACTAAACTGATTTTAATGAAATTTGGTACAGAGATAGAGTTGACCTTGAGAAAGAACGTAAGATAATTTTTATCCCAGACTCTTGAAAGGTTCTCTTGGAAACGCGATATAACCGAACTCCACGCGGGCGGAGCTACGGGCGCAAAGCTAGTAAAGTACAATTACTTGAACTAATTCTAAGACTGATAATAAATAAAAATATTTTATTTTTCTGGAATTCTAAACAATATAATCTGTTGTAGATTATAACCGATAAATTCTTCATTTAACTTTATTCTGACAATTAACTTATTTCTTTTTTTTTTTTGTCGCACAAAATTTCGGATTCCATTGTGGCAGATATTTTTAAGGAATTGAATTTAGAGCTTGTTTGTACATTTACTTTCAATGTAAAATTATCCAATATGGTAGAATATATACAATACTATAAATATTTTTCTTACGCTCCATAATATGAATAGTATAAAAGGGCTTGTAGGAAATTATCGACGTAAAGTTGCTATAAATATATCTATTTAAAGTATATTTTCAATTCAATACTAAACTATAATTTATTAGTAATTTTCTATATTAAAAATATTTTATGTTTTAATTAAGAATACTTACTATGCTAATAAATTTGTACATAATAGTTTTTCTTAATTATAAGAAAATAGAGATACAGTTATTAAAAGGATTCATTTAATTGAGAATGTTGGAATTAAATTGGTTTTTATATACATTGTTTGATTCTTTTTAAAAGTGTAGATTTATGTAAATTTTGTAATATTTACTTATATTGTTATTTTAGAATTAAAAAAAATAAGCAGTGGCCTCATTAGCACTGGCATCGTGGAATATTTGTTGGATGAAATATAATCTTGAGTATTGTGTGGAGGAAACACAAAGGAGTTTATCGAAGGGAATTAAGGCATATATTTAATTATTATTTATTTAAAGAAAACCCTAATTATAAATTTATTTATATTTATACATTTTATTATATTATTAAATGCAACTGTCATATGTCACCACTTATTTGTCAAATCCTAACATATTGACGTTCCCTGAAAGCAAACGCCGACTGATGTTAAATTAAATGTAAAAAAAAAGACTTAACTTAGATTATTAAATATATTAGATTATTTAAATTATGGTGAAACATAGGAAGACTGTGCAGTACAAACATGCTAACAATGAATCTAGCAGTAGTTCAGGAGCCAGTGATTCTTCTATCGCTGGTCGAGCGTTCCACTTGTTATCAGTATGGAAAACTGGTGCCGGTTTCATATGTCTTGTGATAGCTGTATACGTGGGCACCCTGGGTTACTTGGAGACCAGAGTCAATACTCCGCTTGATGAAGAAAAGGTAGATATTATTATATTTAATCATCCTTCTGATAACATATATGTATCATGTTTTGAGTGAAATTGTCTTTCAATGAGAATATAAAGCATTTCAAACCTTCAATAAATACCATTTAAGAGTTTTAGTACCAATATAAGTATAAATTAATCAAAAATATGTGATATATTGTTATAATTAGAGGATTTAGTTTACAAGCATATCGAAAACCAAATACAAAGTTACTTTTTGCACAAATAGTATAAATATGAATTGCAACTAATATTTCTTTATAGTATATCTTTATTATCATATATCAAGTGGAACATTTAATACTTTAAATAGATAAGAAATGATCACAAATAAATAATTATCAATAAATATAGTCTTATTAAAGAAAATTTTATTACTATTGGTAACTTAATTAAATATATATCACATTTATTTATATTAAAAAAGTTTGTAATACATAAAAATTGAAACTGCTAAGCCTATTTTGGTGTAATATCTAAGATAGTCATTATATGCATTCCCAAAGAGGATTGATGTCAGGCAGGCGGCAATTCGTAAAAACAATTACCCAAAACTATTCACAACATGTAAGGCAGACCCTGGCTTAAGCTGGGAAAATTGCCAGGTAGAAGAAGAAGATCACAGATAGTCCTTTATTTTCGTAAATCTTGTTCAACGGACTAGATGTATATTGTTTTTATATTAAATTTCTGATTTATTATGATAGGTGGTTCAAGAAACAGGTCTTTCAGTCCCAGAACGTTACTGGGGTACTTATAGGCCTGGGGTATACTTCGGAATGAAGTGCCGGGAACCCCGTTCTCCAGTTTTCGGAATGATGTGGTATGAACTCGCAGCGGCAGCCCATAAAGGGATTAGGTAAGTGTTAGGTTGATGAGTAAATGCTTTTTATCATGATATTTGGTGCGGTCAAATCGAATCAAATCTAGATTTGATGTTAAGAATTATTTATTTTGGATTTAATTACATAATTGCGATAATTGTTATTAATTATTTACTTAAAATATTGTTATTTAAAACATTAATTCTTTTATTCAAGTATTCTCTAAATAGAATGAGTCTTAACAATAATTTTACTTGAAAATATTGTTATATATTCACTCAATACTTACTGTATTATTCAATAAAACTATATTAATTTTGTCATGTCTGTATTGTGCTAAATAGCATAACTGAATGTCAGCAACTAATATAATATTCTAACCACTTGACGTCATATTATTATTTTAACAATATTGAGCAAGCATAACTAATATATAACACTCACAGACAAAGAAATAGATGGACACATATAAAGTATTTTGATCATCAAAAAGATAAAGAAATTAATATCTCAGAGTCAAATTAACATGTTTTTACATATAAATAACAGTTAATTTTCAGATTTATAACTCGGTTTAAATACAGGGTGACTGGTGAATTACTATCGATACCTGAGGACGTGATATTTGACGATCATATATGACAAAATAAAAATTAATATAACATAAATATTAATAAACTTCTAAGTAAAGTTAACCAAAAGTTATGTAATTAATTACGCATCGTGTGAACACCCTACAGATTAGGTATACACACACACTCACACATACGCGTGCGGCGGCGTACACTTGGAACACTTGGAACGTGTCAACACTTTATTTATTTATATGGAAATTTTGTCAAAAATTAAGTACCTATTTTTTTTACATAATTCGAATGAGAATCATGTACCGAGTATGCTCCTTAAATATTGATAGTAATTCACTAGTCACCCTGTATAATATACTCAATTTACAGACATTTATGCGAGCAGAATGACAACCTGCCAACTTATGGCTGGCTTCGTCATGATGGTGTGAATTTCGGTGAACAACTTATATCTGATCCGCCTCATCACATACAGACATCATTCATAAAGACTCCGGGGGGCGAGCATGGTGGACATTGGACGGCAAGGATTAATATTACAGCTACGGTAAGTTGTTTGAGTGTTTGTGGTGTATGTTTGTTCTTTCAAGTTAGTAATACTGGACCGATTTGGATGAAATTATCCAATGATGTAATAGAATAGGATGTATGATATATTTTATGCCTTAATTCTATGTAGTTGTCTCGGGAACAAGTCACTATAGTTGTATAGTGTATCGAGTCACGTGACACTATATATGTAACTGTATATTATATATAGTCGGAGATAGTGCAAATCCTCGTAATTACCATTTGATAATTTGCGTATCTACGTTGGAAGCAGATTATCAGAAGAAAGTTTAAAGTAATTTCTTTAACAATTACTAATTATTTCGTGCTTAGTTTATTACTAATTGTGAAAAACTACCTAAAAAGTCGTTAAATTGAAAATTACTTCAGCTTAAATTTTCTTCTAATAATCCGCTTCCAATGTATATACGCGGAATTATCCAATGCTAGTTACGAAGATTTGCACTATACCCGCCGATATACATATAATACATCATAATAACATTATATACAGGGTGACTGGTGAATTACTATCAATATTTAAGGACGTGGTAGTTGACGATCATATATGACAAAATAAAAATTAATATAACATAAATATTAATAAACTTCTAAGTAAAGTTAACCAAAAGTTATGCAATTAATTACGGATCGCGTGGATACCCTAGCTGCGTTATCGACACAAAACAGTTATGTACGTAGGTATATGTAGTTATCGCGCGGTAGTTTACCTACATCCAAACGCCGCGCGCCGCCGCGTGTTAGACCTTAGATAAACAAAAATGATCCAATTCCCTTCATACTTTAATCCTGGCTTAGGACAGGCAAAAATACCAAGATATTTCTTTCGTTTAAGCAAAAAATTTATTGACTAGGTAAATGGTGTGACCTTGACACGAAAAATAATATGAACTGTTTACCTATCTTGGTATTTCCGGCGTATTTAAAAATGGAATCATTCTTATTTACAACAATTGTCAATCATTAAACTACCTATTTACCTACATAACTACACTAACCTTAACAAATGTTCAAAGCGAGCTCCTTCTCGTGTGATACACAGTTCGGCATGTTTACACATATTGTCTTTCACACGATTTAATACGAATGGGTCACTTTTAATAGTTTCGAAAGCACTATTGATTTTTAATTTCAACTCCTCTCTGTTGACATACATTGTAGCATACACAAGACGTTTCCTTGGGCATGTGTTGGAACACGGAACTGTCCGAAGTCTCGTAATCTTTGATTAGCGTTTAAGATGACGCTGGCCGTAGGTACTCGACGATTGGGGAACATCTCCCGGTACAAATTGATTGCGCCCGGCAAGCTTTCATTTGCACGCGCATACGCATGAACCATGTCCAAGTATTCTGCATTTGTGTATTGAAAAGCCATATTTAATTACTAATAAGTAATAACGGGTCACACGCACACACGACAGATTATTATTAGGTATACGCGTAAGATCGATCTCTAGGCGCGCGCGCGGGAAGACGAACGTACGGACCTTACGGCGGCGCTCGCGCGACTAATAGCCGACTAATGGCCCGCTAGCCACGGGGCGGGGGTTGGGGAGTAGCGACACACTGGCGCCGGCAAGGCTGAGTACGTGTCCAAACTTTATTTATTTATACGGAAATTTGGTCAAAAATTAAGTACCTATTTTTTTTACATAATTCGAATGAGAATCATGTACCGAGTATGCTCCTTAAATATTGATAGTAATTCACCAGTCACCCTGTATATGTAATAAAATAAATATACACATACAATATATACAAATAGTATAGTGTATTTAAATCTTCCATCAACAGTATCTTTTCGTATCATCATTGTCTCCAACCAAAGTCACATTTCAACAACCCAAATAATCATCTACTTTTTATTCCAGGGTAAATCCGCTCCGCCGTTAGTTTTAATCTGGTACGCAGCCCTGGATGAGTCTCTTGGCTCGGGAGATCATTCAAGATTGTGGACGGAGCGTGGAACATTGATGGGGCACACCCCAGCTTTGGGGAGATTCAGAGTACATTTGGTACCGCATTCTGGTGAGATACAGTGTTTCCTGCAAAAAAATTAAAGTACCCAAAAAAATTTATACCAAAAAAAATCGTTTAGGTAGTTTGCTTTTTGGTGATTGTATTTTTTGCGCAGAGTTGGGACTTATTAGTCTCTCATTTGAAATAAATTTTACTAATTTCTATGAATTTTGCTTCCTTTTTTGGTAGTAGTAAGAAATGTCTGAATCAATAATTGTACCAAAAAAATCGTTTATAGGTAGATTGTTTTTTGGCGAATATGATTTTTTTTTGCAGAAAAATTGGGAATTTGAAATTAATTTTAGAAATTTCTATGAATTTGGCTTGCGTTTTTTTGGTTATTCTGAATTAATAGTTTAATTTTATCTACCAGGTATACTCATCCATTCTTCCCTTTCGGAGGCTCATTCGTCTGGTCTTCATCTTCTTAAGGAGAAATTCTACTCACTCCTGAGGATAGAAGACCAACCGTACCTTGGAAGGCTGGCTGTACTGGGCCCGAATGAAGAGATAGCTGATTCGGTGAGATTATATATAGAGAAACCTCTCATCATTCCATGTATTCACGGTGCGTGTGTCGGGTCCATCGTTGTAGTGAGAGGAGCTTCAACAGTGACTGGGACTTGTGACCCAGGTGTAGGTTTAATATATATAGAGAGACGAAACCTCTCATCATTCAATGTATTCACGGTGCGTGTGTCGGGTCCATCGTTGTAGTGAGAGGAGCTTCAACAGTGACTGGGACTTGTGACCCAGGTGTAGGTTTAAGAGGTCCTATCTAACACGTTAATTCTCATTTCTACCGTACAAGTTCTCTCCTAACCAAAATTTTAATAAAAATCTCGGTTTAGTATACACCTAAGTCTGTTTTTACACGGTCTTTTTGTACACGGTTTTGATATAACACGGTTTGAAAATTGAATATTTTTAATTTTTTTACACGATTTTATTCCATTTAGCACGATTTGAAATTTTATGTACTTAATTTTTTTTTGTCAAATTTAATTTTTGCGAAGTATGTTCATATCACAAAAAAGTATTTATGAAAGAAAAAAGTCTGAAACCATCGATAGTATCGATAGTTTGCGAACACTAGCTTAAAGATTTAAGTGAATTCCCCTTTAGCGCGTACAAACAATTTTTACTGGTCAAAGCAAATGTGAATAGCACTAATTTAGGGGAATTCCCTTTATGACATAGTTTTTTAGTTCCTGAACTTGCCATACATTTAATTTATATTACTTTTAAGATTAGAGTGCATATCTTTTTTATCATTAATTACTATGCTTGTGAAAATAAGCATTATATATTTAATTTAATAAAATAAACATGAATTCTTGTTCTTAAAAATTCTTGTTTTTCACTAATTTTAATAGGTTTTAGAGATTAGGAACAAATCACCCATTTTTGTATAAGATCAATGTCTTTTTTTACACGGTTTTTTTTACACGGCTTCTTCTGGAACCAATCTACCGTGTAAAAACAGACTAAGGTGTATATGGACCTGTTTTTTTATATTACATAATTTTTATTCAAACCTAACATATCATTCAAAATTGTTTATATATTATAACTATGTAAGTTTTATATGGGATTCTTATTATAATAAATGAAATTGATATTTTCTGTTGCACAAAACTAGAAACCAGAGACTAGAGTAAATAGAAATAATAAAATTATATCTTTTAAGTGCTGTTTTCAGACGGATTAACAACTAAAGCTTATTTTCATATGCTAAATAAAATTATATATTCAACAATATATAAGTATTTAATGCGTTGGAACTCAACAATCATGTATTAAAATTAAAAAAAAGATGAATATTTCTCCTTAATAATAATTCTTGTTTATTGTCCAGAATTATAATGAATAATTTTTACAACTATAAGACATACAGAACATAACTAATTTATAATTCTCATAATCTTAACTTCTTTCCATTTCCAGGACAAGCAGGTGAACTTCGTGCCTATCCAGATGTTGGTTGAGACTCCGTTTGTTCTGGACGTGGTGTACACCACTGAAGACCTGCCGACACCACCTGTCCGTGGAGAAGAATACACAAAGACTATGGAGAAGATGAAGAAGGGATATGATGAAGAATTCGAGAGGATCTTCAAGCTGGAGAAGAAGGGGTCGGTACTAGGAACAACATTATAGTGTGTTTGATTTAAGCTGAGCTTTGCATTTGTGTGTGTACACAGATAGTGTAGGTGTGATGTCAAATTTTTGAATGCCACGTTCTTTTCTAGTTTTGAACCGGTTCATTCTGCTTTTACTCCGCCCCGCACCTTCCTCACTTCACCCTTTGTACTGATAGCAAAATCAAATTTTGGAAACGCAATGTTATGTGAAGAAGAATTTGTGTAGTTTTTACAAAATTTTTATTAATCAACATTTTTTTCTATAATATTCATAATGTTTCCATCTGGCCTTTTACAAATTTTGCTTATTTTATGGCATTTACATTACTTATCTTTTTAAAATAGAATAAAATTTAATTCTAAAAGTTTTTTGTCTATCTCAACTTTTACTTTTATTCACACAAATGCAAAGCTCAGCTTAAGTCTAACGGACTATACCTTAATAAGATCTAAGACTCGAGTATTCATTTAAATGAAACTAATATTTTCTGATCATGTCTTTGGAGTACTGAGTAATAGAAATTTTAGGAATATAGTATTAAATACAATAAAATATGCATAGTAATTCGAATAATATTAGTTTCATTTATTTTGACTTATTAGATTATCCAATTCGACTTTTCTCCAGTCTTTAATAACGTTATCTGTCTTACAATACCTGAATTTTTTCTTGTTTTTTAAATTTCTCTTCACTTCAAAATTTATTGTTTTTTAATCTAACTTACATTAACAAAGTTAGTTATTTATTCTAACATTACTGTTAGTAATCCTATATATGGGTTGCGCATGCGCATCCAAAGTAATAATTTGAAATTCTTAATATATATTACAGGTACAGCGCTGAGAATATATCTATAGCAAAGGCCGCGTTGTCCAACATGGTGGGAGGTATGGGATATTTCTACGGGGCGAGCAGGGTGCAGTCACAGTACACGAGGGAGCCTGTCCCTTACTGGAGGGCCGCTCTACATACGGCTGTACCTAGCAGGTTAGATATATATACTAGAAGACCCGGCGAACTTCGTATCGCCCTATAATCAAGAAATATCTGTTACGTTTTGTTATTTATATTTTTCGAGTTTACCTATTAAAGCAATAAATCTCCGTGTTTTGAAGTGCGACAGAATGATTGACATATTAGTTAGTTTTCAAATCTAATGTCAAAATAAAACGTTTGTATCAACTACATAAATAAATTAAAAATTAAGTAAAAAAACATTGTCCAGCGGACAAAATTGTGAATCTAAACCATTCCCAGATCCCCTTAAACACACACAAAAACATTCATCAAAATCGGTCCAGTCGTTTGAGAGAAGTTCAGTGACAAACACACTCACAGAAGAATTATATATATAAAGATATGTGATACAGTCCACTGCTTTCTTTCCACTACACTACACCACTACAAATCTCACACATCACATTTTAAATTGAACCTTATCGCTTCACACATTATGTCCATTTTCCCCAGATCGTTCTTCCCTCGAGGTTTCCTATGGGATGAGGGTTTCCACCTCCTCCTGGTGTCTCGCTGGTCGGCTGACCTCGCCCTGGACGTGGCCGGTCACTGGCTTGACCTCATCAACGTGGAGGGATGGATACCTAGGGAACAGATACTTGGTATGACCCTTAGATGACCTCTAGATGACCTTTGATATTAGGTCATATTGTAACGATTGAATTGTCTAACAAAATTGATAAAGCTTAAAATTAGCGTGTTTTAAATGGAGGCTTATTATGATAAGTGCAGTCAAATTCTTGTGTCTGTATATTTTTTAAGAAATATCCATAAACACGAGCGGAAATTTAATCTGTGCCCTGTTTGCTAGCTCAAATTCACATATCATCAGCCTATCAGAGCCCACTGCTGTAAAGCATCTTCTCACATAGAGAAGGTTTGAGTATTAATCACCACGCTCGCTCAAGACGGGTTGGTGATTTCAAACTTATATATAAATTATAAGTCCATGTTTCCTCACGATGTTTATAAATTCACGTATATATTAGGTTATCAACAAAATTGTGTTGCTTTGACTTTTATTCGATTGGTTTATATACTCAGGTGCCGAAGCGTTGGCTAGAGTGCCGAAGGAGTTCGTGGTGCAGCATAATTCTGCTGCAAACCCTCCGATGCTGCTGCTGTCTCTGGCGCGCCTGGTGAGGTCCCGACCGCAGCTGTTCACTGAGACGCCCTACAGACAGACCTTGGACAGAATGTTCCCTAGACTGCAGGTGAGAGGAAAACAAATTATATATATACTAGCTTTTCGCCCACAGCTTCGCCCGCGTGGAGTTCGGTTATATCGCGTTTCCAAGGGAACCTTTCAAAAGTCTGGCATAAAAACTATCCTATGTTCTTTCTCAAGGTCCACTCTATGTCTGTACCAAATTTCATTAAAATCAGTTCAGCGGTTTAAGCGTAAAAGCGTAACAGACAGACAGAGTTACTTTCGCATCTATAATATTAGTAGGGATGATAAGATTGCAATAAAATCATTAAAAAATGTTGTTGTCTTATATAGCCACTACTTTTAAATAAATCAAATCTTAACTAGAATAAACTAATTATTATCTTAAACCAAAACATCTTAAATAAGTTAAATTCAATTTACAAACACATAAGTCTCGTCTACAAATACTTTCCCTCGTAAAGTGAACAAACCAAACGTCATCGCTTTAACGTCACTTCGGGCGCGGTCGGGAGTTTAAAGGTTCGGTTCAAATTAAATATATGTTCCTTTAATATAATAGTTATTTGGAATATGAACTGATGAGATGTTTTTAGGGAGATGAAGAGGCAGAGAAGCCTCTATTAAGATATATTTAAGAGTTATTTAATTTTCATGAGTTTTAGGAGGTCATGTTTCATCCTATTCCGGAAGATTCTAAATAAATTTGATTCTGGAGGAAGGTTCTGGAAAAATGTCGTAGAAAATAAATGTGTGTTCACTAAATATAATATTTACTAGGAATATGAACTAATGAGAAGTTTTTGGGGAGATGAGGAGGCAGAGTAGCCTCTACTAATATATATTTAAGAGCCATTTAATTTTCATGACTTTTGGGAAGTTATATTTCATCTTATTTAAGAAGATTCCGAATTAATTTGTTTCTGTAGGAAGGTTCTGGAAAGATGTCGTAAAAAGTACATCAGGAGCGGAAACATTTACAGGAGGTTTCGGTGAACTCGTATTTTTGATGGTTTCACGATTTTTTGTTCCTATGGGCCACTTTTATGCTATCCAACACTATTATTATCCCAGCTTATATATCACACATAGGACTTATCCAATCTCAAAGTCATTGCTCGTCTGTAAAGATACATAATTTACAAAGTTATACTTACTTTTCATCTGTCTTTCGTCAGATACTTACGTTTAAACACCTATAAATTAGGCAGATCAATACAAGTTTTGCTTTCTTTATTTTTTTCTCTGGTAGGCATTTGTATATTTCTGAATATGAAATAAATACAAGAAGATTGCTATCAGCTTTATTATCAAATCATTGATCCAGGTGTAAGTTCCTGTAAACCTAAAGTTTCCAGCTGTTCATTAATTATCGTCTTTCCAGGCGTGGTACCAATGGTTCCAAACTACACAGAAAGGAGACGAGCCCACCACGTACAGGTGGCGCGGCCGAGAGGATGACGGGCTACAACTTAACCCGAAGACATTGACATCTGGACTCGATGATTACCCCAGGTGGAGTGATGTAGAATATATGGAACATACATACATACAGCCTAGATATAAAACTGATAATAAAGAAAATAATTACATATTTAGATAGATAGAATTTCACAGATAAAAAATATATAGTGCGTGGAGTGAAACCTTTGGAATAAGTGAAACTTTTTTTCCTCCCCACGAGCGTTAACCGTTAACGCAACCTTCTTGGAAGTCGCATTAGAAGTTTCACTTCAATAAAATTATTAAGTAATATTGTATGAAATTCATAATCTTTATACAATCATTGAATGTAGACCATCTTATGCAATAGTTAAATTCTGCTTCAAACTGTTTTCTGTATAAAATTGCACTTACAATCTGGTTTCTGTTATGTATCATGAGAGACCATTCATAAAGTATGTCACAAGAATTATAGTACTTTTGCATCCCTCCCCCCTTCCTTATCACATTTTACTCTCCCCCCTCTTGGTGTGACGTAACACATATTTTAATTTATGTATATATTTAAAAATACTCGAGAGAAAATAGGTATTTTGATATAACAGTATTACTTATCCTACTAATATTATAATTGCGAAAGTTTGTGAGTGTGTGTGTTCGTTACTTTTTCACGCTCAAACGGCTGAACCGATTTTGATAAACTTTTGTGTACAAGAAGCTGACGTCCAGGAATAGCACATAGGCTACTTTACATCCCGGAAATCCGTCGGTAACACCGCGGGGCGCAGCTAGTTTATTATATATCCAAAATTCGTATAGTATTTTAGATTTTAATATGTGACGTCACTACATCCCCGTCATGTGACGTCATACTTCAGTGATACCCTCCATCCATTGACGAGTGACGTACTTTATTCTTCTTCTACCTGGCGATTTCCCAGCTATAGCCAGGGTCTGCTCTACATGTTGTGAATAGTTTTGGCTAATTGTATTTACGACCGGCCGCCTGCCTGACATCAACCCTCTTTTGGGAAAGTGACGTACTTTATTAATGACCCATAATACTTCTATAGTCTTTAATTTTAATACCTTTAAATTCCTGTCCATCTTCCATCATTTCGATGGAAATCTAAGTTATATCCAGATTATACCAGAAATAACCAGTTTTCATATCAAAAACCTCATTTTTCCAGGGCTTCTCACCCAAGCAGTATCGAGCGTCACGTGGATCTTCGCTGTTGGATGTATGCGGCCGCGGATGCTATGGCGGTGATAGCGCGCGCTTTGGATCGGGATACTGATAAGTGAGTTCATCATTCATCATCATCATCAGGCTATCAGAGTCCACTGCTGAGCCTCTTCTCACATGGAGAAGGTTTGAGCATTAATCACCACGCTCGCTCAAGACGGATTGGTGATTTCAAACATATAATTTGATATAAGTCCATGTTTCCTCATATTTTCCTTCATCTGTCAGTGATGTCTAAATACTCTTATAAAGTGCATATGACTGACAAATCACATTGGTACTTGACAGGATCGAACCCGCGCCCTCATGTATGCAAGGCGGGCGGGATAGTATTCAGTCACACATATATGTTCTATATTATTTCATCATCAGTTATAATATTAAAATAACAACTACCTTCAAAAAATATGAATTCGATTTTACATTTCTATTAATATTTTGAACTCAGAATTTAAGAGATTCTTGATAGAAATTAACGAGGAGGTTCTAAATTCTTCATTATATACATATAGTAACTTAATATAGAAACATTTGTATGTTAAATCACTCATTATAGAATAATTATCATTATGTTTCCAGGTTTGAGGACATGAAGGAACAGCTTGGTAACGAAGACCTGCTGAATGAGTTACACTTGTCCCCACACACACAGACATACGCTGACTACGGTGTGTATATTACTTATATGTAAAAAAAACTGGAACGATAATGATGAAACTCTGCAATAAAGTAGGTTAAACATCATGAAAAGCTTGTATATTGTATGAAGTAGCGGTTGGTTCATATATATATATATATATATATATATAATTAATAGACAGTGAAATTTTGGATATGGTAGAGCCTATCTGTGGTCAAGTTACTACATCTCGAATATGGTCTGTCTCGACCGTAAGTACCACCCTCTCACAGAAGATCGGCGTGAAGTAGTCTTTAATGGCTGCGTTTCGTCCGATGAGTGAGCGAGACGGTTGCACTTTTAATGTTCCCTCCTTCTCCCACAATCAAAGTTGTCAACGCATCTCCATCTCCTATGTTGTAGATGTCCATAGTTGATAGTGACTATCTAGTAAGCATTCTGCTCGTTTGCCACCTTTCACATAAAAAAACAATACTTTTCTTTTTTTATTCTAAAAGGGACAACCGAGCAGACGGCTTACCTGATTGAGGTAGTACCGTCGCCCATGGACATCAAAATAGTTTTGCGAACATGTTGCCATCCTTGATTAGGGAAGAGGGTAAAAAGTAAGAAAGGGGGGGGGGGAAATTCTCTCTAAATCGCACCAAGACTAGTCATGAACCGCTACTATGCCTGTTTAAAGGTTTTACCATCGCCCATGGACATCCGAAACATTGATTTGCGAATATGCCAACCTTGATTAGGGAAGAGGGGGTAAAAATAAGAAAGGGAGGGAAAAATCTTCACCAAGACTAGTCATGAATCTCTACTATGCCTATATTTAAGGTCCCAAATGTTTATATTCCAGGTGTCCACACAGACGGCGTGAGGTTCGTCCGCCAACAGGGTCGGGAGCCGCACGAGGGGTCGAGGGTAGTGAGGAGCGTCACTATAGCGCCGCAACCCCGATTGGTGACGTCAGCATTCGGTAACTATATATAATGTTATATATATACTAGCTGCGCCCGGCGGTGTTCCGGGATTTCCGCGATGTAAAGTAGCCTATGTGTTATTCCTGGACGTCAGCTTCCTGTACACAAAAATTTATCAAAATCGCTTCAGCCGTTTGATCGTGAAGAAGTAACAAACATACACACACTCACAAACTTTCGCAATTATAATATTAGTAGGATTTTCCTACGTTTGTAATTAAAAATAAATTAATAGCTTATTGATTAATCTATATGAAATTTGTTGTGTGTCTGTCTTTCTGTTGCGGGTAATCTCTAAACCTAATGGATCTTTTTTTCGGGTATACATATTCATATATAAATAAAATAATCTAAGACAGTACCCTACTGTTTATTTAATCATCCATATGCCAACTAAAGTCCCATTAGATCCTGTCTAGCTTTTTCAGATATCTGGTACAAAGAGATGGACAAAAATTAATAATTGGTTTAGTAGAGAGAGGAACTTGTACGGTGGAGGTGAGTGTTTAACACGTTAGATAGGGACCCTTAAACCTACACCTGGGTCACAAGTCCCAGTCACTGTTGAAGCTCCTCTCACTACAACGATGGACCCGACACACGCACCGTGAATACATGGAATGATGAGAGGTTTCGTCTATATATATTACTAGCTTTCCGCCCATAGCTTCGCCCGCATGGAGTTCGGTTATATCGCGTTTCCAAAAGAACCTTTCAAAAGTCTGGTATAAAAACTATCCTATGTTCTTTCTCAAGGTTAACTCTATCTCCATGCCAAATTTCATTAAAATCAGTTCAGTGGTTTAGGCGTGAAAGCGTAACAGACAGACAGACAGAGTTACTTTCGCATTTATAATATTAGTAGGGTTTTTGTTTTAGGATACGTGTCTCTATTCCCGATGCTGATGAAAGTTCTCAAGCCTGAGAGTGACAAGTTGGGGAATATTCTGGAAATGTTGGACAAACCGGATTTGTTGTGGTCTCCGTATGGACTGAGGTCAGATATACACTTGTTTCGAGTATAAATCATCATCATCATCATTATCATCATCAGCCTATCAGAGCCCACTGCTGTAAGGCCTCTTTCTCACATGGAGAAGGTTTGAGCATTAATCACCATGCTTGCTCAAGACGGGCTGGTGATTTCAAACTTATAATTGTGATATTATAAGTCCAGGTTTCCTCACGATGTTTTCCTTCACCGTATGTCAGTGATGTCTAAATACTATAAATAATACGTCATTTTATTTTATCATTAGACGCTCAATTAAACAGACTTGTTATTACAGTCTTGTTATTTCTCGCTTACCAAATAAGGTGCGATAGTATAAGCAAACACTCATTGATTAGATAATGAAACATAATATATACATTATATATTTGTTCTTTATATATTAAATACATTGGATATATCCTTGTAATATATCATATCCATATTTCTAACGAAAATAAACGATAAAACTAAGTTTGAAGACTACTCTTAAGAAGCTGTTGCTAAAATACTGATAATGAAATAAAACATATGTTTGTCATCTACCATTATATGTACTGAACTTATTTAGCTAGAATTTTATATATATACTAGGTTTAGCCCGTGACTTCGTCTGCGTTATTTTCAGAATCAGAAATGTATTTGACGAGTCGAACTCTGTTCATCCTTAAAGATAGTAAATAACATTTTGTATTTGATCAACAATTTTTTTCTTTTTCAATCGTATGTAAAGTATCCTATGTCCTTTCTATGTTCTAATCTATATCTCCACCAATCTTCATCCATATCTATACAGTCATTAGAGTTATAAATACTGTAACATGACTTTCTTATATAAATAAAAGTTATCATATTGTTCTTAAATTTCCAGATCTTTGTCCAAGCTGTCTCCATTATATATGAAGAGGAACACAGAGCATGACCCACCATACTGGCGCGGTCAAGTGTGGATTAACATCAACTACTTGGCCATATCAGCGCTTCATCATTACTCAGTCTCCGGGGGACCTCATGCTGAGAGGGCGAAGTCCCTGCACCAAAAACTCAGAGATAATGTAGTCAGTGAGTATATATAGATTTGATAATTAGTTTATATACTACACCTGGAAATGATTTAGATTAAATTCATTGATGTAGCAGTGAGTTCTGGATCTGGAAGGTAGGAAGTATATTGAAATATCTATTGATAATTATTTTGTCATATATATGAGACATTCTTTATTTATCATTATCATCATCAGCCTATCAGAGCCCACTTCTGAGCCTCTTCTCACATGGAGAAGGTATGAGCATTAATCACCACGCTTGCTTAACGGGTTGGTGATTTCAAACTTATAATTGTGATATTCGAAATCCAGGTTTCCTCATATTTTCCTTTATCAGTCAATGTTATCTAAATACTCTTATAAAGTACATATGACTCAGAACAATGACATTGGTACTTGCCAGGATCGAACCAACCCTCATGCATGAGAGGCGGGCCTTTAACCACTAGGCCACCACAACTTATTTTATATATATGGGAGGATTTATAATAGTAATGTGTATTTAATTATCTTTTCCAGGTAATATACTATCTGAATACAAGAGAACCGGTTATTTGTGGGAGCAGTACTCCGGAGAAGATGGCAAGGGGAGTGGTTGTAGACCATTCACTGGGTGGACGGCTTTGGTTGTGTTGCTGATGGCTGATGAGTACTAGAGGGCCTCGGGGCCTCCCGAAGACATTTAGAGGGGGCCTGGGCCTTATAGGGCCTCTGGAGAACATTGAGAAGGGGCCTGAAAACAAAGCTAATACTAGTGTTGTGGTATATTGTGTTAATTCATAAGTTTGTATCATATTATGTATATGTTGGTTATATTTAGTAAATTATTTATATATAGGTCTGGTGAGGCTATGTATATAGCTTTTTCCTGGCAATTTCCCTGCTCCAGCCAGGGTCTGCCTAAGGCTATGTATTTAGCCATGTACGTTAATCATGATAGTTTGACAATATGAAACAATTATTTTGCTATGTATTAGGTAATTTTGTAGACATCAAAGAAATTTATTTCTTATAGTTCATTTCTGCCAATTATAATGTTCTCATACATTTTGTTGAAGCAACAGAATGACATTCTTCCATCTCTTAATGTATATAGTTTAGAATTTAGAACATAACACACCATTCTATATGAATGCGGGGTGGTGGGTTACATATCTTAGGATTTAGAATACGTTGGTTGCATCAGGATGATATTCTTGTTACAGACGGGAATCGATCCCAGGAACGCTAAGATGATTGTTATAAAAGTTCAGATAGGAATTTTAAATACGTCATTTTGCTCGTCATATTTAAGTTGAAGGTAGATCGAAAACCAAATTATCGTGACCTCAGAATGGCTCAGAATATAAGAAATGAAATTACTACCTATACTTCCTTCCTAAGTACCCTTAGAACTAGTTTGCAATACAGGCAGTTTCCAGTTTCATATACCTAAGTAAATACTATCGTGTAGAAGTATTGAAAATGATAAAATAACCATCGTCATTATAAGTAGAGTAGTCTCTAAATTATTTAGTCGTAGTTCCAAAACGCACAACTATTTAAATGTTATTTGTGAATCGCTGTTTAGAGAAATAAGAAGGGTTTTTGTCTTATCCAATAATCTATAATAATACCATTTAGAAGTGAACTTTGTTATGCAACTTTCAACAAGGTTGCGTTAAACGTTTAACGCTATGAAAGGGGGTAGTAAGAGACAGAGCGATAGAATGCGTGTCGCTCGAACGCATGCAATCTATAATGACTTTTAAGTAATGTTAATAAAGTTTGTATTAAACAAACAATAAAAGTTCATTAAAAATCAATTTCTACTCCTTTTTTTACGAGGTTTTACTTTCGCGCGGTGGTACTATTAATTTATTTTGATATAGTAGACATTTAACGCTTTATTTCGACCCAAGGAAAAGTCGAGGTTTGTTTGAATCCTCGGGATAAGCCCGGAACTACCCACTAAAGTCTAATGACAACCCCTTATTCGGTTCCAGGGAAACTAAGAAACTTATATATGTATATTATAATGAGAATGACATATTAATACTTATAACCTACACCTAAGACTACATGATTGACCCGATGTTATGATATCAATACCATTCCATAGCTTGTGTGTATCAGGAATCTTCTGGTTCACACGCTTGGTGTTCGTTCCGCGGAGTCAGCGGCGTCAAGAGTTATATATTATCCACACGTTACTTAAGTAACAGAGTTATTACTTATTTTGTTGTTTCCATATAGTAACACTTATGTATTAGGAATGTGCCAATATATATAATATATATGTTAAAATGTCTTCTTCATAAGAAATATGAGGTTTTTAAATTAATATTGTATGCCTCAACTGCTTCTCCAAATTCTTCTCCAATCTTCATCATATTCTTAATGAATAGTATTAAATGTCTGTCAATTTTTCTTGTTAATACATATATATATAATTAAATTATAATGTTCACTAGTTAAAATGAGCTCTTGTTGTAATATAGATAAGGTTCATTTTACAATTTATAAAATATATATTAAATAAGAATAACAAGAGAAGTCACGTTAAAAAGTAGGTAAATCAGTCTTTTTCACTGCTAAAGATGGCACTTCACTTATTTATTTGTTGTGTTCGGAAAAATAAGACCATGTGTGGATGATTTATTCGTCTTCATTTGACATATTTGCACAAATAACACACATACACAAATAAGCGAAAACGCGTAAAGACTTGTAGTTGGCATGCCAAGTGTGGATGTCGTGTTTAAAATATTTGGACTACGTACAAATATTTGGACAAATGCGACGAATACGCAACGCCAAGATACAAAAATTGTAATTTTTGTTATTACCGATTACGACAAGTGAAAATGTCTACCACAGTAACATCTACGACTATATTTGTAGAAGAAATACAATTCTATACATGATATTTTAATTAATAACTATAGAAAATAATAACATTTGTTTTTATGTTTTTCTCTTAACAAAAAACAATTTAAAATATGCTGATAGTGACACATTCAAAATGGCGTTTGTAAGATTGGTGTTGTCAATTTGATAATTAAATTAAGCTTATAATTGTAAATAAAACATTAAAATTATATAATAAAGCATAAAATCGGCGTCGTCTATCTTTAAATTATTTTTTTTATATATAATTTACATTTTTATTTTCAAATAAATATTTTAAAATAATCTACGTGCTGTTATTTTCTTTCCAATTAATTTCTTATTAAATTTTGGATATTATAATTTTTACCAACATAAAAATCCTTACATAGGTAATTTATTTCATTGTTGTTTATCGAAAAAAGCCACAAAGTGATAGATCTTTCTAGAACTGTGTCTTATACTACAGAGAACAGTTATTTTCGTTCACAGCCATTTAAATTTAAGATTGAATAATTGATTAAATTCTACAATATTATTATAATTAAATCAGTTCTATCTCATCACCTAAGTATATTAATAATCATATAAATATATAACATATTAACAAATGTTCAAGTACTTCAAAACTCTTTAGTGGAGTTCATTATTAAATGATTTGTTAATCAATTGTGACCTTTGTAATAAGTAATCCTGGTAATAATGATAGTGAAAAGATTAAAATTCCTAATAAAGTTATGTTTTGTTACCAATTATACTTGATTATTTTCATTAAGGATCAAATAGGTTCAAATTTATTCAAAATACAGCTGTAATATATGTATGATGAAGTAAAAATAGAAGATTTGAAATCTAAATTGAATTTTATTTGGTAGAAATAAAAATTACACTTCTATGAAAGCAATTGTCAACAAGATAATTATATGTAATTAATTTTACTTTTGTCTTTATTATGTTTAGTTTTCTATCATAATAAGTATTTTTAAGTTTTAATAAAAATAAAAATGCAATATTACACCTAATTTTATATTGTATTGCATCTATTTTATGTACATTAGTCTACACTACATAAGAAACTAAATTATTTTATATTTATTCCTCCTTTTTTTCTTCTTTAACTTCTTCTTTACTAATTCTCTGTTTTTCGAACATAATTCTAAGCTGTTCCGTCGCTGACATCGGTAATCTATCGTTTGCACCGAATTTGGGATTGGGGAGTTTGGCTACATTGAGTTCGGGATTCTTGAATGTGAATGGTGTCCAAGGACCCTGGATGGAAGGGTGATCGGTGTATTGATACTTCCTGAGCCGCACCGCTGATAAGTCTCCTTGCTGTGTTCGCATGTTCTCAATCCATTTTGTGATCTCCGATTGTGTCTTGTTTTGCATACTCATCCAAACTCTATCTCCATTTACTGAAAATATATTTAAATATTATTTACATTATCAGCTAGTAAAATTATTATCATTTTTTTCCGAATAATATAAGTTAACTATTGCTATGTAAACAAAATTTAGTTCGTACAATACTCAGCTACAACGACGGGACTTCGATGTCTCCGGGGCTTCAAATAAACAACGACACTGGGATTGTCTCTTGCGAAATCAACTAAATCCTGCTCGATAAAGTCTCTGAAACACCAAAACTAAAGTTTTAGAACAACATTTAAGTTAAAATTTCATTAAAATGTTGATCGTACCTCATTCCTCGGCTTCCGCCGTGACTTTTACAGAATTTTAAAACAATTCTCTGCAATTGACAAACGTAGCGTCCGACACCATTCTGGAGTGGTGCTCGAACGAAGCCGGATTTCAAAAATAAATTACTATTAGACATTATAATATAGTTTTATTTTGTTTTGGAGGTTACAAAGATTTCTCTGAATATGACTTTGACGTTTCAATAAGTAAAGACATTAGACGTTTCTGTTGAGTGTTGCTATAACATATATATGACTATCAACCCCAGAGACGGAACCTCTCATCATTCCATATATTCACGGTGCGTGTGTCGGGTCCATCGTTGTAGTGAGAGGAGCTTCAACAGTGACTGGGACTTGTGACCCAGGTGTAGGTTTAAGGATCCCTATCTAAAGTTAAACGATCACCTCCACCGTCCAAGCTCCTCTCTACCAAATTTGAAACGAACCTAATAGGACTGCCTTCGAAGTATATCCAAGAATTATTGGATATTAGTTCTGTACAGGCACAAGTCTTTTAGTAGGTTGTTGGGAGATTTAGCTGTTATACCTCTCTCTCTCACTTCTATCGCGTATAAATTCACGACGAACCTATTTCAAGTTAGTTCGTTATAAGTGAGCTCGTAATATTTATTGACCTTGATGGTATGCTCTTTGGGGATGTTGGTTTCCAATGGAACCGTAAGCTCTATCATCACAACGCGCTTTAAAATTCGTGAATATATAAATATGTCTGGTCTTGAGGCCGACACACAAAGATCCTCTGGGGTTTTATATTGTTTTTCATACGTGGTCATCATTATAGTCGAATCCGAAGCCGCTTTAAGGATGGAGTTAGGCATGACGTTTGATTTTGAAGCCCTAGTTCATTCTCTTACAAAAACTACTGATCGCTCGATTGTGGTTATTTCCCTTTGCGCTTTGGCTACCGAAAGACTAACCGCTTCAAGTATGATCTCTAGAACCCTATCGTGACGACGCGAGTATTGACCGCTGTCCAGGAGAACCTTACATCCCACCAGCAAATGCTTAGCAGTTCTAACACCCTTTCCACAGATATAGCAAGATTTTTAGGTATCTTTACCCCAACTTACTAAATTACTCTGATCTGGGAGAGTCATCGTATTGAGATAGAATTTCAGCAATACTGGCGACCAATCATGAATTAAAGTGCGCCATTTTAGTGCTAATGGGATGCAAAAATCTCCTATGTCTAAACACTCGTTCTGCACTTTATCCACAATTTCCGGAATTTCTGAATAAATAATAGGGAAAGGAGCTTGGACAGTGGAGGTGAGCGTTTAACGCGCGTTAGATGGGGGCCCCTTATACCTACACCTGAGTCGCAAGTCCCAGTCACTGTTGAAGCTCCTCTCACTACAACGATGGACCCGACACACGCACCGTGAATACATGGAATGATGAGAGGTTTCGTCTCTCTATATATTAAACCTACACCTGAGTCGCAAGTCCCAGTCACTGTTGAAGCTCCTCTCACTACAACGATGGACCCGACACACGCACCGTGAATACATGGAATGATGAGAGGTTTCGTCTCTCTATATATTAAACCTACACCTGGGTCACAAGTCCCAGTCACTGTTGAAGCTCCTCTCACTACAACGATGGACCCGACACACGCACCGTGAATACATGGAATGATGAGAGGTTTCGTCTCTCTATATATTAAACCTACACCTGGGTCACAAGTCCCAGTCACTGTTGAAGCTCCTCTCACTACAACGATGGACCCGACACACGCACCGTGAATACATGGAATGATGAGAGGTTTCGTCTCTCTATATATTAAACCTACACCTGGGTCACAAGTCCCAGTCACTGTTGAAGCTCCTCTCACTACAACGATGGACCCGACACACGCACCGTGAATACATGGAATGATGAGAGGTTTCGTCTCTCTATATATTAAACCTACACCTGGGTCACAAGTCCCAGTCACTGTTGAAGCTCCTCTCACTACAACGATGGACCCGACACACGCACCGTGAATACATGGAATGATGAGAGGTTTCGTCTCTCTATATATTAAACCTACACCTGGGTCACAAGTCCCAGTCACTGTTGAAGCTCCTCTCACTACAACGATGGACCCGACACACGCACCGTGAATACATGGAATGATGAGAGGTTTCGTCTCTCTATATATTAAACCTACACCTGGGTCACAAGTCCCAGTCACTGTTGAAGCTCCTCTCACTACAACGATGGACCCGACACACGCACCGTGAATACATGGAATGATGAGAGGTTTCGTCTCTCTATATATTAAACCTACACCTGGGTCACAAGTCCCAGTCACTGTTGAAGCTCCTCTCACTACAACGATGGACCCGACACACGCACCGTGAATACATGGAATGATGAGAGGTTTCGTCTCTCTATATATTAAACCTACACCTGGGTCACAAGTCCCAGTCACTGTTGAAGCTCCTCTCACTACAACGATGGACCCGACACACGCACCGTGAATACATGGAATGATGAGAGGTTTCGTCTCTCTATATATTAAACCTACACCTGAGTCGCAAGTCCCAGTCACTGTTGAAGCTCCTCTCACTACAACGATGGACCCGACACACGCACCGTGAATACATGGAATGATGAGAGGTTTCGTCTCTCTATATATTAAACCTACACCTGGGTCACAAGTCCCAGTCACTGTTGAAGCTCCTCTCACTACAACGATGGACCCGACACACGCACCGTGAATACATGGAATGATGAGAGGTTTCGTCTCTCTATATATTAAACCTACACCTGGGTCACAAGTCCCAGTCACTGTTGAAGCTTCTCTCACTACAACGATGGACCCGACACACGCACCGTGAATACATGGAATGATGAGAGGTTTCGTCTCTCTATATATTAAACCTACACCTGGGTCACAAGTCCCAGTCACTGTTGAAGCTCCTCTCACTACAACGATGGACCCGACACACGCACCGTGAATACATGGAATGATGAGAGGTTTCGTCTCTCTATATATTAAACCTACACCTGGGTCACAAGTCCCAGTCACTGTTGAAGCTCCTCTCACTACAACGATGGACCCGACACACGCACCGTGAATACATTGAATGATGAGAGGTTTCGTCTCTCTATATATATTAAACCTACACCTGGGTCACAAGTCCCAGTCACTGTTGAAGCTCCTCTCACTACAACGATGGACCCGACACACGCACCGTGAATACATTGAATGATGAGAGGTTTCGTCTCTCTATATATATTAAACCTACACCTGGGTCACAAGTCCCAGTCACTGTTGAAGCTCCTCTCACTACAACGATGGACCCGACACACGCACCGTGAATACATTGAATGATGAGAGGTTTCGTCTCTCTATATATATTAAACCTACACCTGGGTCACAAGTCCCAGTCACTGTTGAAGCTCCTCTCACTACAACGATGGACCCGACACACGCACCGTGAATACATTGAATGATGAGAGGTTTCGTCTCTCTGACATATATTAAAATTAAAGCAAACAGTTATTAATATAAATAAATTCTTTTAGAAACGGTCAAATATTTTGGGCCAGAAAAGTAAAAACCTGTCAAAAATTCTTATACATAAACATTTAACAAACAAAACACAGTGGATTTACTAAAAATAAAGATAATTTTCTTTGACATCAAATTTAAAACTTTTCTCATAAAGCAATAAGTACCAGGACAACATATATACAAAGGAGTTAATATCTTTTAGGCGAGATCGATCTTGCCCGCGCCCAGAAGGTACCGGAGGTGGTGTACAAGACCGCCGTGTACCAGGAGCTCAGCGATCACCTTGAGGGGAAACTACTGAAACCAATCATTGTGAGAAAGAAGAAACAAACAGCATCATATTAATTTTATACTATATCCTAACAACTTGCAAAACGTTAGAATAACTTTTGTCTGCCCCTTAAACAGGCGGACGAAATGTGATCACGAAAATGTCTTCTTTTTCTACCTGGCAATTTCCCAGCTATAGTCAGGGTCTGCCTTATTTGTTGTGAATAGTTTTTGGCTATTTGTTTTTACGACCGGCCGCCTGCCTGACATCAACCCTCTTTTGGGAATCAACATTAATCAGTGATGTCTAAATACTCTTAGAAAGTACATATGATTCGGAAAAGTCACATTGGTACTTGCCAGGATCGAACCCGCGCCCTCGGCGACGATCGACGGGCCCTTTAACCACTGGGCTACCACTGACTTTCACTAACAGATCACGAAAATGTGATCATAAAGTAGCCGATACGTCGGGAGTATGTAGTTTATATCAAAAATAAAAACGTGTAGTAAATCCGAAAATATTAGTTTCATTTAAATGAGTACTTGCGAAAATCTTAGATCTAAAAACAAGTTACTACTATTATTTTGTAGTATTTGTGTATGCACTTGTTACTCAATTTGTTGTTACATTTTCGACATTTTATTTATGTTTAAAAGAATGAGGGATCAGAATAAAAAAACGAATATTTATAAAAGTGTATTAATAAAAGAAAATTAATATGTACATCAAAATTTCACGAAATAAATACAACTTATTGTATAGTATTATAATACTATGATTAGAAAATATTACACAGCGACAATAATGAGCCCAGAATGAATTTATAGAAAACGAAAATAATTATAGTTTACGAAATTCATTACTTTATATCATCATCCTATCAGAGTCCACTGCTGAGCCTCTTCTCACATGGAGAAGGTTTGAACATTAATCACCACACTCGCTCAAGACGGGTTGGTGATTACAAACTTATAATTTGATATAAGTCCATATTTCCTCACGATGTTTTCCTTCATCAGTCAGTGATGTCTAAATACTCTTATAAAGTACATATGACTCGGAACAATCACATCAGTACTTACCAGGATCGAACCAACCCTCATGCATGAGAAGTGGACCCTTTAATCACTAAGCCACCATTGACTGTTATAATTTTATATAGTTTACATAAATACTGAGCCTTTTATTATTTAAGAATATATCTTAATTTTCGTTTCCATAAAATTCAAACTTAGCGAGGGTATACAAGATAAATAATATATAAATATAATTTCACAAAAATATAAAATGTCAAATACAAAATGGCGGTAGAAATATTGCTTCAAATACTCTTATCTCTTCACTAAACTAATTTTATGAATAATAAAGAGTAGAAAGCAGTTTTATATAAATATTTTTTGTCTGTTCTAGCTCAAATCTACTTTCATTCAGCCAACGTAGACAGAGAAGTGCAGTATTATCTGTATTTATTAAAAATAGTTTTTTGTACATTTTTTAATGTTATTGTTGAGTTTTTTCTTCAAGTTGTTTTATTCTGACTGGTACTTGTACCGCGGGTAGGTCGACGCTCTTGGCCCGCCGGCGGCCATTTTGCACGTCCAAGCTGTTCCGACGCGCTTCCGGCGGAAGTGGTTGCAGTTCAGGGAGTGTTCGTTTCCTTGTCATTTCGGGCGTCTTAAGAGTTCCACCTGTAACGAACTTTTTTAATTAAATGTGAAATAAAATATTAAGAATATTATAATTTGATTATAAGAATACAAAAAATTCAAAGAATTGGGTCTTATTTAATAAATTAAGTCAAATAAGTTATTTATCCAGCCTATTTTATCCCATTTTTATACTAAACTAGCTTTCCGCCCGCAGCTTCGCCCGCATGGAGTTCGGTTATATCTCGTTTCCAAGAGAACCTTTCAAAAGTCTGGGACAAAAACTATCCTATGTTCTTTCTCAAGGTCAACTCTATATCTGTACCAAATTTCATTAAAATCAGTTCAGTGGTTTAGGCGTAAAAGCTTAACAGACAGACAGACAGAGTTAGTTTCGCAATTATAATATTAGTAGGGATTATTTGTGCCTTAAAAGAATGCCACAAATTGGAACTTTTATCAAAAATTTTATTTTTCAACATTTTCAGTAATAACCTTTTCTCCTGGGAGCGTCCTGTGTCTCCTCACACCGACTTCTTCCTCCTGAACATAAAAAAGACTCGCAACCATCAGCCCGGGTCCTGGCGCCTAGCGTGGGGCCGCTGGAAACAGAACGAGATACATTATTACATGTTGGGTTTGTAAGAAAATGTCTGAACTAGATCAAATATTACGGCAAGATATAGAAAAGAAGTGGGGTTTTGGAGGTCAGATGGTAAAAACTCCAGTAAAACCACTCCTCGCCACTTATATGGATAGAGAATAGAAGATAGAAAAGAAATATATAGACAAAAGAAATAGGCAAAAAGATATAGACAAAAAGATATAGACAAAAAGATATAGGCAAAAAGATATAGACAAAAAGACACAGAAAAACGAAAAATTTGAAATGATACATAGGTCTGATTTACAGAAAATTTGCTTTAAATACGAGTCTGGGACATCATTTTAATAAACAAGCAAGATTTTGATAAAATCGCAACTTGTCCACTGTTCTAGATAATAAAGTTTTCTATCATTCGTCTCTTTGCCTCAATTCCTCTTTTTTTATATGATGTGGGAAGAAGGAAATGACGCTAAAGTGTGGGAAAGAGAAAGGGCAACCGTCTCTCTCATTCATCATACAAAACGAAACCATTAAAGACTAGCTCACGCCGATCTATGAGAGAGTAGTACTTCTCCGGTCGAGACAGTACATGTTCGAGCTGTAACTTGACCACAGCTAGGTTCTACCACCAAGAATTGGTGAATTGCCATAGCAGGTCCCAAATCGCCCCCAAATAAGGGCAGGAAGGGAAGCCGGGGAGTTTTAGTGGGTATTCCCAGGGCCAACAACATCGGGCTCTGGGTGACCCCAACACAAGTCCCACTGTCGAGCCAAGGCAGTGGCTAGTCTGTAAGCGGATTTCTCCCGAAAAAAAAAGGTTCTACCACCAAAATATTTCTCGTGGTTGTCCTAAATCCTCATCAGGTCACTAACCTCTGTTCCATCAGTAGTTTCGTGAGTCTGGCCACTTCTGTCTTCAATTGCTGTATCTCCTTATCCTTCGCTCGAGCCTCCTGCTCCGACACTCGTTCTCGAGCCGCAAGACGAGTCCGCATGTCATCAAAACTATGGAAAAATGTTCTATTAGATTTTGGGATGAATGACATCCATCTCTTTTGCTGATTAAAGTTGTTTTTCCAATAAAATTAGTGCAGGAAACTACAAAATTAGGTAATTTAAGTTATGATTTCGTCTTTGGACATATTAAATTAAGATCGCTCGAAGTCACATTATTCAAATAAATAATTTAGGTATATTACCAATTTTGCATTAAATAGATGGTCAATGGATTTAAATTATAATTATTCAAATAAATAATTTTAATGTCAATTATATTACCACTAATTTTGCATTAAAGAGATGGTCAATGGATTGAAATTATTACTCAGTTTCCTACTACTTACAGTTTCCTGAGACAGGCGCACTTCCTCGTGAGGTGTTCAATCTGTTCTCTGTTCTTCTTCTCCTCCTTCCCCATCCTCTCCGCGTCCTCCCTCCTCTTATCTCTCAACTCCCTCTCACGATCTAGCGCTTCTCTATGTTAGTTCCGGGGAAAAACCGATTAGGGACTGTTCACACTTGTGTAGTGTAGTGTAAAGTGTAATAAAAAGACTTTCGAGATTTATAATTTTATTTATATTCAAAGAAAATATAAAAAATTATTACTTACAAATGAAGCGTTACCTTGAGCGATGAAAGCGTGTTATTTACATATATGTATATATTTATAATATGTATGTATATATGATATAGTCCATGGCAGTAACATTTCAAATAGAATATTCTATATAATAGTATAATTTCCTTTTTGGTCTAAAACATTTACTTTGGTTTAATTTGTTAATTAAATTAAATGTAGTTTGCAAAGAATAACTATAATTCACAATATTGAAGTTAAAAACTAGGGCCATTTTGAATTATTTTTGGTATACACAAAACATATTATTTCATAAGTAACTAAGAAACTTAACAAATCAACTTTTCCTATACTTCATATAATATATTAGTGCTAGAGAGAGAAGGAACGTCGCTAGAGCGAGACGGAGCGATCCGACGAGGACACACGCGCACGGCGCCGCCAGTGTCACCCACCCGCAACTGAAGATAAAACCTACTTATTGCACCTGCGCACCTCTAAACTGACAGCTGTCAGTGCAACTGACATTGACACCTGTCACTTGACATTCCGTCATTGTTGACAGCTGTCATTGAGTCACTTTTTAATTAGAGAATATGACAACCTATTCACTATGCCAGTGGCAATTAGTTTTTGATTCAAATATCATGTTGACATTTGTCAATTTTCGCGCTAAAATATTTATGCTTTAGATTCAGCTAATTATTCGATGTAATTGTCATAAAATGCCAAGTTTAATTTTATCAACAAGCAATCTTTCATAATTTTTTTTACTCATTTTGTTAATCGCTCATAGTCTTAACAATTATTTCAACTTCAATTGAAATGTGAATACCGCCTTTTGGACATAATGTAATGATTTGAGTGATTTTGTATGAGTTTGTTAGAGGCATATTATGGGAGATAGGCTTTACATATATCTGTCTCTGGGATATAACATATAATAAAGGCAGTTATATGTAGTAATATACTATGTTTTATATGTATTAGTATATAAAAGAGACAGAATGGATATATATTAGCATTGGAATGAATGAATAATTTCGTCATGCATCTTGGTAGCCAAATTTCGTCCAAAAGACAATATTTTATTATTATTAGTTTTAAACACTCGTTAATTTAAAAACTCAATTTCGCTACCAAATTTATTTGATTTTTTAATATATTAATTAATGAGTTGACATGCAGTATAATATCATCTACATATGTATGTTATTATTTTATTTTGTTTAAACTGACCTTAGTTCCTGTTCAGTGACAGCCAAAGTTCTTCCACACGCAGCCGCTTTGAGTGACAGTTCTTCATAATCACTCATTTGTGATTGAAGACGAGATTTTAGTTCTGTCGAGATTTTATGAAATAATTTAGTTAGTTTAGTTTTATCAGAAATCTCTTTTATTAATAATGTTTTCTTTCTTTTTTTAATAAATTAATAAAAATGTGGTGGTCGTTTTAAAGTACTTTTTATAAAATTTTTGTGTCGCGGTGTTAGACAGAGAACTCCTCCGAAGCGGCTGGAACGATTTAAATGAAATTTTGTGAGCATATTGAGTAAGTCTGAGAATCGGCAAACATCTATTTTTCATACCCCTAAGAGATAAGGGTTCTTCACCCTTAATTTTTTTTCGGACGATTTTTTTTATAATGTAGCATTTAAAAAGGTACAACCTAATATTTTTACTTTTTTTATCACCAACCCCTATTTTTATATAGCAAAACAATGTTTGCCGGGTCAGCTAGTATATAAATTAAATATATTATGAATTGTATTTCAAATTTGCTGAGCAAGGAAAAATCCTTGTCTAGATGTTTACAAATTAAATAGTAATTAAGTATTAACCAATAAAGATTATTACATTATTATAAGTATACTCTGTGTCTCTCTCAGTCTGTCATTTTTGTACATACCTGCCACTTCCTCCACTAGTTCTCTCTCCCTCTTCTCCCTCTCTTCCTCTCCCTCCTGCCGACACTCCATCTTCATTCGTTCGAGACACATCTCCTTGTCAGCCATGAAGTGCTCCCATTGCTCATCTGTTAAAGTTTAAAATATAAAATATATTCCAATGTATGCAAAAACAGAATTTAAATTCATAAAATGTCTCAATTATTAACCAACTTAATGAGATCTAAGATTTTCGTCATAATTCATTAATTAAAACTAATATTTTCGGATTATTATGCGTCATTATGTTATTCTTCTCGTCTTCGTGATCACGGTTGCTGTAAAGTAACTGAAACGTTGGTAGTATGTACAAATTTACTTTTTTATAATTACATTTTAATTATATTTATTGTTGTGTACGCGTAACAGTTTAAAAATAAATGAACATCGCCGGACAACATCGTTGTATGTATAAAATATAACTCTTGACGCCGCTGACTCCGCGGAACGAACACCAAGCGTGTGAACCAGAAGATTCCTGATACACACAAGCTACGGAATGGTATTGCTATCATAACATCGGGTCAATCATGTAGTCTCAGGTGTAGGTTATAAGCTTTAATTTGTAATTCTTATTATAATATACATTATACATATATAAGTTTCGTAGTTATCCTGAAACTTCTGGTTGCCACCCTATGCAATACAATAATATTAGTTTTCTTTATATAAACCAACTTATTATGTATATAATTTATCTTTACCCATTTCCAGTCGGTGTTTTTCCTTCAGTTTGTTCATTTGTTCCATCTTCTCCGCGACCAGGGTCTGTCTGGTCGCCTGCAGTAAGTTCTTCGCTTCTTCTTCGCTCGTCGCCGCTCGCTGCTCCACTTCTCTTAACTTCTCCGACCATTCTTCGATTAATTGAGCTGAAATTGACAATTAAATTTTTATTAAAGGTCTTTCTCTTCACTGATAGTCCCATGTATATTGGTATCAAAATGTATGTTTGAATTTATCAAATTAGCTATATTATGACTGAAATATTTTATTTGAAACATTGAATTTTACTTATTTTCAATTAAATAAAAACAAAATTATGTATATATATCACACAGACTGGTAAATCACGAGGTAGGTTAAAATCTAATATATCCATAAATACGTCAAATTTAAACTAACCAACTACCCTCTTTTTTTCGCTATTTACTTGGGAATTTACTTTAAAATCATATATTTTTTTGACATATATATAAATTACTTTTCTCATTTAGCTAATCTATTTAAAAATCATTAATAATTATGCCATTTATATTAGTAAATTACCTTTTTCTCTTTCAAATCTTTCGTTCATAGCTTCCACGTTGTTCGCGTACGTGATGTCAGCTTTGTCCAGTAGATGTCGTAGCTGCAGTATGTCCCAGTCCGCCTTACTGTGTGCCTCAGCGATCGCTCTCTCAAACTGGGCCTCTTTAGACGCGAGCACCTCTTTGAGATTCTCGAACTAAGATAGGATATAAAAAATTTAATTACACTCGGAGATTTCATCAAAAATAGCAATTTTCACCATAATTTCCTATAAACATTGATAATATTCGCGCATAAAGTTACAGATCATTATGTTTATGTAAATTATGTATATTCATGGGCTTTTTAGGTAAAAAAACAGTATCCAATTCAACTAAATCCAACTTTTTCTCATACTCTGGTATTAAGTACTAGTATAGGCTCTTTAGGTAAAAAAACCTTATTAAAAGTCAGTGTTGTCTTAGTTGTTAAAAGGGCATCTCAAGCACGAGGGCGCGGGTTCGATCCTGGCCCGGCCAAGTACCAATGTGATTTTTCCGAGTCATATGTACTTTATAAGAGTATTTAGACATCACTGATTAATGCATTCCCAAAGAGGGTTGATGTCAGGCAGGCGGCCGGTCGTAAAAACAATTAACCAAAACTATTCTTAACATGTATGGCAGACCCTGGCTACAGCTGGGAAATTGCCAGGAACAAGAAGAGGTAAAATAACCTTATCAATAGAAAAATTCTACTCACTCTAGTATTAAGTTCCCTCAATTTCCTCTCTCCGTTCCTCACATCCCTCTCGGCCTCTTCCCTGAGTTGTGTTAGCGCGGCTCGAGTTCTCTCCGCGTGTGCTCGTTCCAGAGCGGCTCGAGCACTGGCGGCGCTCGCTAGAGCCTCCGCGTGCTCGTTTTTAAGGCTATTCACTTTCTCCGTATGCTGTTCTTCTAGACGGGCTATAGCCTAAAAGTAGTAATCAAATTAACTAACAGTAATTGAGTAACAAACACACATAAGTAAATATATTATAAAAACAATCAGCCAATATTTTTCACAAAATGTAAGGCAGACCTTGGCTGTAGCTGGGAAATTGCCAGGTAGAAGAAGACTGTACAAATGGACTAAATTTTTTTTTAAGTAAACTTGAGGTATAACAATATTAATAATCTTTGTAATATATTAATAAAGTCGCGAAATTAAATATCATATGTATCCCATAGAAAATATATCACCTGCAAATGCATTTCCTCCTTCTCCTTCTGGCTCCTCGCCTCCTTTTCCAGCAGATCCTTGAGTCTGTGGACTTCAAGCTTGAGTTCCTCTTCCCTCGTCTCAACCTTTTGCAGTTGCAGCGCTAGAGACTGCACAGACCTCTGCTGCTCGGAAGCAAGACCTCTCAATTGCTGCAACTCAGCCATATGGGAAGGCGTGGGTGGAGAAGATTTCAATTTCTCCACAGTTTCTGTTAACTGCAAATAAATGTAAAAAAAATCTGAGTTATCCCAACTAGAGACCAGTTAAATTTATTTTTAGGGTTTTATGCAATAAAATATGTGTATCAGAAAATAGATTAATTCGCAAAAAGGCAAAATTATGTTTCTATTAATATAACAATCAATAATAAGATAAAAGACTCGCGAGTTTTATTCATTTAAATGAAACTATGTGATTTACATCTCGTCTTTGTGTTTACGGCTGTTGATAGAGTATGTAGTTTCTTACAAAAATAAAACACGCGTAGTACATCCGAAATATATTAGTTTCATTTAAATTAATATAAGTTTGCTAATATTTTACTTATTATTCATTCCTTAATCGATACTTTTATTTTATCCAAAGTTTCGTGACACCCCTTAAGCAGTCCTAACATACGTCGTATTTTCTTCCTATAACATTTCTATAATATATTTCAATTAAATAAATAAATATATATATAAGTAGTCAACTTCCGAATTTTACACAGTAAAAGTTATAAAACAAGAAAATTATTTGTATCAGATTCGTCATTTCTTATCACAATATCACTTTCTATATATAATGTATACAAACATTGCAAAAATAAGATATACATTAAATGTATTCTTCTATTAGTATAAGGGTATAAATAAATTGTTTCATTTCTCCACTTCCTCACCTCCTTCTTCTCCTTCTCCACGTCCCTCGCTCTCTTCTCCAACTCCCTCATCTTCCACTCACAGTCCGCTAGTATCCGTTCTGCTCTCGCCGCCGCTTGTGACCGCGCAGCCTCGTGGGCTGATCGCCATTTCGCTGTATTCGCTTCCGCCGCTTCTAAGGCCTTTTCAAATCACAATATATGTTATCCCTACTAATATTATAAATGCGAAAGTAACTCTGTCTGTCTGTCTGTTACGCTTTCACGCCTAAACCACTGAAGTGATTTTAATTAAATTTGGTACAGATATAGAATTGACCTTGAGAAAGAACATAGGATAGTTTTTATCCTAGACTTTTGAAATGTTCTCCTGGAAACGCGATATAACCGAACTCCACGCGGGCGAAGCTGCGGGCGGAAAGCTAGTTTCATAATAAATATATATAAGTTTATTAAAATTCGTCGACACAAACTGGAATTTAACCTGCGAATGCTAAAATTTCTCATGTCATTTGCATCAAGTTAAATTATTCGATAAAATTCTACTTCTATGTTAAAAACATACTTACATAGGTAACAAAAAACCTTTTAATATATATTCAGTTTTTATTTTCCTTACCTCTTTAGCATTTTGCTCCTGTAAGAGTTTCTCCTGTTCCAGGCGTTGTTTTTCTTCTTCTAACTCCTTCACCCGTTCTTCCAGCTGTAAGCGCCTGGCGTGAGCTTCGTCCAGGTCTAAACGCAGCTGGCGGACTGCTTCCTCTGGAATTATTTCCAGATCAAATGAGCTTGAAGATTACTTACACCAAACATAGCATCATTACTATACTTTGATTGCTTCAGAGTAAACACTAACTTGAAATCCAATTACTTTGAATAAAAAAATTTATAGTTTGTGGAGTTACTCCGGGCGGAAGAAATGAAACTTCGTAATGTTGGAATGAAAACAGAAATGGAGAGAAATCGATTTTTAAGGATTTTTTTAGTGTTTCTTTATAACAAACTTCATTAATATTATTTACAAGTCACTAATGATTGCCGTGCGTTCGAGCGACATGCATTCTCTTTCGGTTTTTCTCTTTTATCCCCCCTCCACACGCGTTAAACGTTAAACGCAACCACATTGGAAGTCGTATAAGAAGTTTCACTTCCAAAAACACTATTAATACTAACAAACTTAGAATATGACTATCAGTTACTCAAGAAATAATAATAATAACTCAAGTTGTGTCCAAGCTACGACATTATTCCATTGGAATCATGAATATATTATAAACTATCAACACGTCTCTACTCTGTCCCACATAATTTTCAAGTTCTGTCACTAACCAATCTTCTGCTGCATTTCATCCGCCAGCTCCGCCGTACATCTCCTGGCCGCCACCAGGTCCTCCTCGATAGAGCGACTCCTCTGACGGACGAGCTCGCACTCCTTGTACGCTGATGCTATGTCGCATTTTAGTTCTGAAATAAAATGTTATGTGGACATAAGTTTACCGAAAAATCCAAATATATATATATATATATATATATACAGTGTAAACTCTATATAACGACACTGAAGGGACTGTGCAATTTATGGCGTTATAGAGAGTTGTCGTTAAATAGAAAGAAGAAAAATCAGAATTAGAAAAAGACAAAGTTTATTTCAGACTAGTGTTAGTACTTATGTACCTAAAAAAGAATGTTATTCGAACGCTATTGCGTATAGTCTGTTATTTTTGTTTGACGTCTTTTGCTGCACCAGTACTGTTGTTGTATTTATTTACTTATTTTATTAATATCTTGCGATATTGAGAGATCTTAGTGAAGAACGAATTTCTTAGAAAGTTTGGTATGCATGATTCCGACAGTCGAGTTTATTAAATCGAGTGACGTTACATGGAGTTTACACTGTTTATATATATATATATATATCTTTGTTGCGTCTATCCACTGAGTCTTGAACAAATATCTTTATATGTATAATTCTCTACGTGTGTACTAATGTCACTGAACTCGTACTAATTTACTGGACTTATTTGAATTACTTTTTGTATGTATTTGGTGGTTATACTTCATTTAGTTTAGCTTCATAAATCAGACCTATAGATGGCGTTTGTATCTAATTTGTCATGAAGTTGTGGTGTCTTAGAGGTTAAAGACCCGCCTCTCATGCATGAGGTGCAGGTTCGAAACCTGGCAAGTACCAATGTGATTTTTCCGAGTCATATGTATTTGATATATTTATATTTAGGAGAGGACTAGATGTAGTGTTTCCACAGTCCATACATGTCTTTATTTCCGATTAATTATTATCATTGCCTTCATAAAAAATGTATAATGAATTAAATTATACGCTGATTAATGAGAAATATCTGAAATATGATATAATTTATATACCTACAGTATTATTTTTTGGCGTTTTAAATTAGTGTTTTCTTATACCATTAATATAATAATTTGAATATCATTTGGCTACAAAATAACACTATCTTGTGACCAGAGCAACATGGCCAATATTGCAAACAAGGTAAAAAAGAAATAATATTGTTATTTTTTGTATTTTATACAATAATTGTAAGTGCTTATCCCAGACGGAGAAGAAACTTCTCAAGTTTCCATGTATTCACGGTGCGTGTGTCGGGTCCATCGTTATAGTGAGAGTTTAAGGGACCCTATCTAACGCGTTAAACGATCACCTCCACTGTCCAAGCTTCTCTCTCTACCTAACCAAATTTGAAATGAACCTACTAGGGCTGCCTTCGACGTACGCTCTAAGAATGAATTAATGTTAGTTCTGGACAGGCCCAAGTCTTTTAGTAGGTTATAGAGAGATTATACAATAATTGTAAGTGCTTATCCCATTCTGATATTCAACCTGCATTATCGTAAAGTTTCATGGAAATCCGTTCAGCGCTTCTCGTTTTAAAGGGCGACAAACAAAGAGTAAGTAGAGGAACTACGTGTAAATGTATTTCTGGAACAACTTTCTCATTAGTGTGTCACCGTTGGGTCTCGAGCGTGATCTATATATAGTGTCTTTGTTCGTCAGAACTACGCGACTTATTTTCATTCGTTCAAGGTGATGCATTGTGGAGTTTCTTTGATAGATTTTAACTGGAATCTGCTTCCAGAATCTTCTAGAAATTTCCATAATGTACCCAAAAATCAAGACATTGATTGATTGGAAATGATTTCATTATTTTGCAAATGATTTTGGAAATGATTTCGTTATTTTGACTTAAATTGAGAAGAATATTTAAATTATAAAACGAACTTTTTACAGAAATTATTTAATTAATATTGATGCAGAAATTTTGTTTGTAAATATATGTAAAATAAATGACGCAGATTTTATGCTAGAGAAACGTGTACGAATACGAGAATGACGTAGTTACAACGTTGTTGTGAGTATATGTATAAAAATAGATATTTCTTTCAAAATAACAAATAAAATTTTTATTCTATTACCACGAATCTACAAACTAAATAAATGCAAGTTTTATTGATAAATCTTCTCACTATATAAAGAAAATACTCGAAACTGTTTGTATTTAGTCTCAAAATGTGTGTATAAAAGTTAAATCTCTCTACAACCTACTAAAAGACTTGGGCCTGTCCAGAACTCTCATTAATACATTCTTGGAACGTCCTTCGAAGGCAGCCCTAGTAGGTTCTTTTCAAAATTTGATAGAGAGAGGAGCTTGTACAGTGGAGGTGAGCGTTTAACGCGTTAGATAGGGTCCCTTAAACCTACACCTGGGTCTCAAGTCCCAGTCACTGTTGAAGCTCCTCTCTACAACGATGGACCCGACACAAGCACCGTGAATACATGGAATGATGAGTTTTTGTCTCTTATAGTAAAGCGATATGTACGCGACATTAGCGTCATACAAGCATGTTTAATTTGAGATCCTAAACCATTATGTTTACATATTAGTTAATTATTTCAAATTAATTATTATTACCGTACATAATGATTACAGCTTCCGATCTGTTTATTACAAATTTCATCAAATTTTGGACACACGCCAATAGATATAAAACTTGGAAATGATGAGGAAAATTGAGGCGTATATCCAAGTTTTAAGGTTCATTATTGAGGATTTTTTAAATGCTTTCAAATTTCAATGTTTTGATTAAAAATAATTCTCGAGACTGTTGACCTTCGAAGAGTTTCCTGTATTTTCGAAGTGACCCAAAGTAAACAAAGCGTCTTTGTCTGAATTTTTATTCCATTCAAATTTCTTGGGAATCATTTTTATTTTTGAAATTCGCGTTTTTTTAATGGCTGTATGTATGTATGTAACGGAATCTTTGAGCTCGATTTTCACCGGTTTCTAAACATCTGATTAACTTGAAACTTTACATATGTCTCAAGGACCAATGACAATACAATAATTCGTTAATAATTTCCCATTATCCTTGTTAGGGCCGCCAGGATTAATATATTCTTTTCATAGATCCTCTATGAGAGTGAAAGGGACAGAGCTAGTGTGCGATCTGCGCATGTGCACAAAAAACTAATTGATAAATCGTACTAAAAAATGTAAAAGAAATTATTTTTTTTGTTTTTTTAAACTAATATTTATTTTACGACAAAATTTCGCTTATACTACACTTACTATTGGTTCAAACTGATGAGTCTACAGTCTTAAAAATAAATTGGTTACCTTTCTCAAACTTATGGTAAACTTTGGTAAGGTCATTTTTGAACTATCATACTTTATAGTTGGATGTTTTCTATAATTTTCATCGTTACTACACACGACGCGTCTCCCGTTTCTCATTCAATAGTACGTTAATACTATGTGAGAAGATATTAATGAAATACTTTTAACGCTACGTATGATGATACAAACTTGGAGTAGGCATATAGATGTAATACATGAAAAAATATGTTCTAATATTGAGAATTAGAAAGAAATAAAAAAATAAAATTAAAGTAATTTCGTCTAATTTTATTTTAAGAAAATTTTCAACCTTAATAATAAAAAATTTTGGACGTACGTCTGTCCTGAGAAAACAAATAAAATCTACTTGAATATGTATTAAATTAGTTGGAAGATCGTTCTAAGTTATATATACTTTTGACAGATAATATTAATTAATAAAAAAAGATTATTTCACGCGTATATTATATAAAGTAAATATTTTTGCGCGTTTCTTCTTTATATAAACTTTGATTGAGTTAAATCCCACGCACATGCGCGTGCGCAGATTTTAAAACGGATGCAGCGTTCATTTCGCGTGTTGATTTTATTATAATGTGTATACTACTTTTTGGCCGCGACTTTGTCTGGAAACATCAGATTTGTGGAAACAATGTAAAGTAATCTACGTTATGTATTTTCATTTTAAATAACTTAGATACAGACTGAACCGCCATCTGGCGTCTGTCTAACGTGACATACACACGTACAGAAGAATTATTCTTCTTCTACCTGGCAATTTCCCAGCTTTAGCCAGGGTCTGCCTTACATGTTGTGAATAGTTTTGGCTAATAGTTTTTACGACCGGCCGCCTGCCTGACATCAACCCTCTTAGGGAATGCATTAATCAGTGCTGTCTAAATACTCTTAGAAAGTACATATGACTCGGAAAACGTACAGAAGAATTTCATATATATACAGGGTGACTGGTGAATTACTATCGATATTTGAGGACGTGATATTTGACGATCATATATGACAAAATAAAAATTAATATAACATAAATATTAATAAACTTCTAAGTAAGGTTAACCAAAAGTTATGTAATTAATTACGCATCGTGTGAACACCCTACAGATTAGGTATACACACACACTCACACATACGCGCGCGGCGGCGTGGTGTTGTATCAGCACGCCGCCGCACGCGTCCACACTTGGAACACTTGGAACGTGTCACCACTTTATTTATTTATACGGAAATTTGGTCAAAAATTAAGTACCTATTTTTTTTACATAATTCGAATGAGAATCATGTACCGAGTATTCTCCTTAAATATTGATAGTAATTCACCAGTCACCCTGTATATAGTTTTTACTTACGATGTATCTCCTTTTCTTTCTCCTCAATTTCTTTCCTGTATGTGACTATCAATTCTCTGGCGTGTTCTGCCTCCGTGCATCTCTTGTCGGCCAGTTCGGTCAGAGCCGTCACCTGGGACTGGAATTGCGTCTCCTGGTTGACGAGGCTCTTCCTGGAAAATTGATGAGATATGATGAGATACGATGAGATATGATGATTATGATGAATATGAACTCATCGTTTAATGATGAGAAAATAACTTGAATAGTGACTTGTGGTATGTTTACAAACATCGCGAAATTTAAAACTATGGATGTTTTTTTCTTTGAACTAAAGCCAAATTTAAATTATAATATATACCTAATTATGTTAAAGTAAAAAAAATATATATTGACGTATTTTATTACGAAGAAACGCAGATACCGTGTATTAAACAAAATGCGTGGAAATGTTTTTATAAATTAGTATGCGTGTGAGAAATGAATTGAAATACATACATTTAAACTTAATTCTGAATAAAAAATGAGTAGGATTTGGTTATTTCGTAAAAAAATATTTATTTTAACAAATATTTTCATGTCTATTATAAAGATTCTATATAATTCGAGTAAGTTTTGTTTCATCACACTTTTTTTATGCGAAAGGGGGCAATCGAGCAGACGGTCTACCTGATAGAGGTAATACCGTCGCCCATGGACATCGGCAATATGGTTTTGTGGATGTGCCGCCAGCCTTGATTAGGGGAAAGGAGGAGGAAAAAGTGGGAAAGGGAGGGAAAAGGGAAGGGGTTTGAAAGGATGGGAAAAGAGAGAGGGCGACCGGCAACTCAAATAAAGCGTTTCTCGTTTCTCATTCAATAGCTTGCTACTGTATGAGAGTATTAGATATAATATAATATAATACTCTCTATGAAAAATATGTATTAAATATATTAAAGAATATTATTTAATTTGCCTATGTATGTACATTTAATTTCTAACATTTAAAAACTGTCAGAAGAGGCTTTCAGGCCCAGGGATCTAAACATTCTCCAAAAAACCTGATGCAGAAGGCAAGGGGAAACCACTGCGACTACATTCCCAAGAAAATAATCATTATGAAAACATCAAGTGATGATGATCACTCTGAAAAGAGTGTTACTACCAAGAAGAAGAAGTAGAGGCGTTTAATATATGATTAAATCATTTATATATATATATATATATATATATATATATATATATATATATATTTTATGTCAATTAAGAAAACATCTAAATATATTTGTAAATTGGGTCACCCGACCAGCATCGGCCGCGCCAAGTAATTCACTATGAAATATTGTTCGGTTAAATAATATCTACAGATATATTATAAATAAATAATTATTTTATTATTATATACCTACCCAAAATAATTTCATTAATATCAAAAATAAAATCGTAAACAAAAAATTTATTTTATTCATCAAATTACTATAACTTAAACATTTTATTTTTGTTTTAATAATTTAATATTAAAAGCAATATTTCATGAGATGTTTTATAACAGACAGATGTACAACTATTTTATTATTTAGAGACGAAACCTCTCATCATTCCATGTATTCACGGTGCGTGTGTCGGGTCCATCGTTGTAGTGAGAGGAGCTTCAACAGTGACTGGGACTTGTGACCCAGGTGTAGGTTTAATATATATAGAGAGACGAAACCTCTCATCATTCCATGTATTCACGGTGCGTGTGTCGGGTCCATCGTTGTAGTGAGAGGAGCTCCAACAGTGACTGGGACTTGTGACCCAGGTGTAGGTTTAATATACTCGTATATAGAGAGACGAAACCTCTCATCATTCCATGTATTCACGGTGCGTGTGTCGGGTCCATCGTTGTAGTGAGAGGAGCTCCAACAGTGACTGGGACTTGTGACCCAGGTGTAGGTTTAATATACTCATATATAGAGAGACGAAACCTCTCATCATTCAATGTATTCACGGTGCGTGTGTCGGGTCCATCGTTGTAGTGAGAGGAGCTCCAACAGTGACTGGGACTTGTGACCCAGGTGTAGGTTTAATATACTCGTATATAGAGAGACGAAACCTCTCATCATTCAATGTATTCACGGTGCGTGTGTCGGGTCCATCGTTGTAGTGAGAGGAGCTCCAACAGTGACTGGGACTTGTGACCCAGGTGTAGGTTTAATATACTCGTATATAGAGAGACGAAACCTCTCATCATTCCATGTATTCACGGTGCGTGTGTCGGGTCCATCGTTGTAGTGAGAGGAGCTCCAACAGTGACTGGGACTTGTGACCAGGTGTAGGTTTAATATATATAGAGAGACGAAACCTCTCATCATTCCATGTATTCACGGTGCGTGTGTCGGGTCCATCGTTGTAGTGAGAGGAGCTCCAACAGTGACTGGGACTTGTGACCCAGGTGTAGGTTTAAGGGACCCTATCTAACGTTAAACGATCACCTCCACTTTATTTATACATTGATACCAATTTATTTTTAACTGTTATTTATTAAAATTAACTGCATAGTTACGTTATTTTGTTTAATTTATATATTTTAATAGAAATTGTTTCATATTATTTGTGTTAAAGCTTCCTGTTCGTTCGTGTTTGGCGTTTAGCCGAGTATTTGTTTCATGTAAATGCTAAATGTACATCAAGATTTTGTGTTGTTGATAAAGTAATATCACGTTCTTATACAAATGTGTTATTAAAATATATTATTTTTAACCAATTCATTATAGAAATATATGTATATATAGATAGTGGTGGCCTAGTGGTTAAAGGCCCGCCTCTCATGCTTGGTCACGGGTTCGATCCTGTAAGTACCAATCAGATTTTTCCGAGTCATATGTACTTTATAAGAGTATTACACAACTGACAGATGAAGGAAAACATCGTGAGGAAACCTGGACTTATAAAATCATATTATAAGTTTGAAATGACTAACCCGTCTTGAGCGAGCGTGGTGATTAATGCTCAAATCTTCTCCATGTGAGAAGAGGTTCAGCAGTGGGCTCTGATAAGGTTAAGAACGGAATATATGAAATTACTCTCGCGAGAGGTTGATGGGGGTGGCAATAAAGAAAATTATATATATATATAATATATATATACATATAATATACAGGTTTTAAAATTTACTATATATCCATAGACAAGTATTCTTCATCTATCAAGTAGAACCTAGTTGTATTTAATACAAGAATTCATGACAATAAATTGTAATACAATGAAGTCTTGTTAAATATATTTAGTTTATATACGACCACTTTATTTGTTTCACAAAATAATTACACTAACGCCTTACCATGGGTTAAAATCGGTAGACGCAATACGGAAAGTTTTCAGTACTTATCTATTTTCATTACTACAAGTTTACATAATTATATAACAGATGACGCTTTTAAAGTTAACTACCATTTCGACGTTGAATTTTGTTTAAAAAACGGAAGACTGTAGGTGTTTAAGTTTGTTACGTGTGGTAAGGAATTGTCAGCATTATTGATGGCTTTAACTATTTTATATACAAAATTATTTTGACTTAGTCTTCAATAATATTTTTCTTTTGTGTTCGTTTAAGATACTTCAATATTTTTTAACATAACTAAAGATCAGAAATATATTTGTTAAAAACGTATTTTTTATAATAATTTAAACTAAAAAAGGAAAGGCTAAGTATTAAAATAACGTATAAGACTTCATTATGTTTAATCCGAGTTTCCATCGTCACTAAACACGCAGCGTTAACAGTTCTTCATTCATACTTACTCAATTAAACGTGAAAATCTGCGTATGTAGTTTCCATGAACACTCGTGTTAAATAATGTTTCCAGCTTAAGATATTTAAGAGATAATTATAAATTTAGATTCCAGATTCCAGACGCACATAAAGATGTGTGACGTACGAAAAATACCCCATAAATGAGTAACGATATAATATTTGGCAAGACTTTATAAGCTTTATTTTCTAATTTAATTAATTTGTTTGCGAGGGTAGAAACAGGTTTGTAGTGTGAAACTTCTTACGCGACTAATAAGGTTGCGTTTAACGTTTAACGTAGAGAGAAAGAGATGTAAATGTAGGAGAGAGAGAGAGAGAGTAGATTGCACGCACGCCCATGGTATTGTTGCTTACAGCGAAGTAAACAGTGTGAGCATGACATTAATTGAAACACGAACTTGTTGTTCTATTCAATTCAATAGAATTCAATTTGATAAAAATATAATTTAAAAGGGCAGAATATATTTTATTTTCAAATTATTGTTTTCAATTATGAAGTTTCACTTCTACCGCGCGGAGTGACTCTACGTACAATTTCTTTCTATGCGTATATCTACAAAATTTGGACATATTTTAGCGACACTATCAACTTGTTTTGGTGATCACGGTTGCTGTAAAGTAACCGAAACGTGGAGATCATGTAGATATAGAATATATATATACATACATATGTATATAGGTTACCCAATGATAACTCAGTACCCTTAAAGTGTTTTTTCATGAATGTCGAAATGTCGAAATAATTAACGAAGAATTTTTCCCATCCTTTTTCATGATGATAAATAGATTGTGCGTACTCTATCGCACCTTATGTAGTAAGCATGAAATAACAATTCTATAATAGCAAGTATATTTAATTGAGTGTGTATCATAGTAGTGAATAATAAAATAAAACGACGTAGTACTTTAGGCACAGGATGTAGTATTAAAATGATAAATTTGAAAATTTTGTTCAATCCGGAATCGAACCAAGAATAACTGAGAATTAATTTTAACTAATGAACATCAGAATCAGTCTGAATCTGAATGTCTGTCTGTGGTGTACAAAAACTCCTAACTGAAGAATTAAAATATTGACATCAGCTTAATATAGAACTGTAGTTAATTTTTAAATTCTCATACTAACTTTCAGTTTTGCACTTCATATTGTAATAGAACTATGACTAACAAGAAATCCAATCTAAATCATTACAGCTGTTCCGAGAATTAATAGGAAAAACTTTTATTTGTGAAGTTAAATAAACAGTGAGAATATAAATGAAAACAAACACACACACACACACACACATACGTGTATATATATAGTAAATAATTGAATATTTCAAGCGAAAATAATCTAGAAATTAGCTGTTTGATTCTATAAATATAACTCAAATTGTTTACGATAGTATTTTACCGATTGCAAAAATGTAGGTTCTGTATTCTCGCCATATATATGTTTGTTTGTTCCGCAAAATCTCCAGAATTCGTTAACATATAATAAATATGCTTTATTTGAAGTTGGTTAATAGATATTAAGACTACTATATATATAGATTTACCTAACTGTTACAAAAATCAATTCAGCAGTTTTTCAATATTTATATTCATGTACTTGAAAGCTGTATTAATTTTGATTGTACTATATATTTTAATAGTCAATTTTAATAGTAATGAATGTTAGTACTTACGCGTTGTCCTCGTCTCCGACCGCCTCTCCATCGCTCTCCTCGTCTATGATCTCATCGTGGCTCTCATCACTCTCATCAGTCTCATCGGTCTCATCACAGATGCTCCTCACATTAGTCTCATCACCGGACTCCTTATCACACTCCAGGAAGCCACTATCACTGTTATCACCGCTTATTCTTCTCAAGTCATCGTCTTTAACGTTTATGACTGTTGCATTATCATTTCCAGTCACCACGTATCCACCCAGGAGTTCGTCGTTGTCTGGTATTTCATCCAGATAGTCAGCTTCTTCCGAAGTGAGGGATTCGAAGGACGAATCATCTCCTTCATCAGTCTGCTGCTCCCCATCATCGAAAATGATGTGCTTTCTGAATGTGACTCGTTTTTTTCCGCTGTCCGAACGATCGTCATCTGAACAGGCTTCAGTATCTGAACGCGGAGGCTTCAGATTTGATTTTCTTGTAGCCGGAGATTCTGGTGCATCCAGCTCGAGTTTATCCTCTTTGGGTGTTTGTAATAGCTTCTCCAGCTCGCAATTCAGGTCGTTTTTATACGTATCTATGCTATTATTATCAAGCTGGTATACCTGTTCGTTCTGTCCAAGCTGCCTGCTGTCAGAGCTTCCCATTTGTTTGTTGTTTATCTCATCAATGGTGCAGTCGATGCTCTTGGCTATCTCCCGCAGTAGGGCCTCAGCATGTTTTTTATCATCCAGCTCGTCGTTGGACACGTAAACTAGAGACACGTGCTGCTGTTTTGGATCCGGCTTGGAATATTTCTGCAATACGAGCGCCTTAACGTACTCTGCGTGGTCATCTGACTGCTCTGTAACGTCTTGGGTATTTTTGGCTGGCGTGGGCGTTGCGTCACTGGCTCGTCCGCCCTGTCCGCAGCTAGCGATATCAGTTTTAAATGAATCGCGTTTTCTTTTGTTCCTCTTTCGTTTCCCCGCCATTATTTGCAGTAAGGCACCGACGCCTGACCTCTGGCTGTAGTCTGTCTCAGGTATGAGCAGGTTGACTACATCTTTTCTGAGGGTTCCTGTTCTACTTGTTACATCGTGACCGTCTCGCGTATTCTCGTCTACTGATGTCAGACTCGTCCGTCTTCGCGGCCACTCGGGCGAGGCCTTGCCGGCTTTCCGTTTGAAAAAATTAAACATGGCTGACGGATACGTTCGGAAATCTCATTTCGATGGCATCTGGAGTGAAATAAATACTAGTTGCGTTTAGAATTGCGTATTTAATTATGAATAATTGTTGATAAGTTTGGTGTTAGTTAATTTTACGTATTTTCTGTACTTTTTATACTAAATTAGTTTATTTATGACGCCATATTGTTTATAGCTTCGGGATCAAAGAGTCGTGGTTTGGGAACTCAGTTTTATGATGTGGTTTAAAAGATTGATAATAAAATATAAAAACAGACAAGGAATTGAGAGAATATTTGTTTTTGTTATACATACTACGAATAAAGTAAAGATTTCTTTCATTTTGAAGCCTTTTTTATATATTTTTTCAAATATTAACTAGTTATTTGTAAATAATTAAATTATCATATTAGTGCTATATATAATTAATATTTCTTATAATTGTAATATCTGTTATGTTCTATCAACTATACATAAGTAACTTTCGCGTTATATACAAATATACATAAGCACATACTAACATGTGCATAATATGTACTATATATAGAATAGTATATATACATATATATGGTAAAAAACTACGTCTTTCAACAATGTTCAAAGGAAATTAAAAATAGATTTCTTTCTCGTGATATATCTCTTCAAATAACTAAAATTGTAGTGACACATATTATGTTGTTTATGAGAAAACTGCGTACATACATACAGTCGACAAATACCTCTTAAAGTACAATTATACATACTCAGTTACTCAATACTCAATAACTTTGTTATTCGAGTAATACTCAGTTAATGAGTATCATAGTATTTATTTTAGTTACTCATACGAGTAATTGAGATATATAAACTAGTTTTTACACGCGACTTCGTCTGTATTAGTTTCAGAATTAGAAATGTATAGCTGACGAACTCTGTACCTTAAATACAGTAGATAAGATTTTGGATTTGATCAAATTATTTTTGTTTCTTTTTCAATCGTATGTAAAGTATCCTATGTCCTTTCTATGTTCTAATCTATCTCTCCACCAATCTTCATCCAAACCCGTACAGTCGTTAGAGTTATAAATAGTGTAACTAACACGACTTTCTTTTATATATATATGTATTTTATATTGTATTGTGAGTAGTCCTAGCTCGTGTAGACCGCACTTGACCAACTTCTATAAATACCTGACATGTTCTTGTGATTTTGTATCATCTGCTATTTCTAGTGATGTGCATTAATATCTATCGATGTTTTTTTATCGATACATACATATACAGGGTGACTGGTGAATTACTATTGATACTTGAGGACGTGATATTTGACGATCATATATGACAAAATAAAAATTTATATAACATATTTATATAACCTATTTTTTTTACATAATTCGAATGAGAATCATTTACCGAGTATTCTCCTTAAATATTGATAGTAATTCACCAGTCACCCTGTGTATAATGATGGAACAAACATGTTTCAATATATGTATTTTCAATCTTGAATCAAATGTACATGGATTACAGAATAAAGATTTTATTTGAATAAAAGATATTTTTTATATCTTAGTTTTCTTTTCCTATTACTATTGTTTGTATTTTTAATCTTTGTTTTTTGGCAGAAATAATATATATTTTTTTTTATGTATGCAAATTGAAATGACGTAATTTTAGAAAGTAATGGATTAATTCAAGAATTCAATGGTAATATTGAAATATATATTGCATACATATAAAAACTGCAAACGTACAGTTTGTCGTATTTGAATTATAAAACTTGTAGTAGTAATAGTTTTAATATATGTCAGAGGTCCCCAAACTTTCGTCACCCACTTTGAGAATAAATAATTTTTCAGTGCCCCATTTCTTCACAGTAAAACCACAATATTATCTATACATATAATTTAATTGTAGAAAAGTGCTGTCTGTACATTGAAAATAAAAATAAAAAAATTGCAGGGATTATTGTTATGTCGATATCGAACCCAAAAATGAAATTAACTTTTTTTTTTGTCTGTTTGTCTGTTCACGCTAATCTCAGAAACGGCTGATCCGATTTGGATGCGGATTTCACGAATATATTGTGGTATGCTTCAGTTATGTTTTAGTGTTTGTTTCATGTCAATCGGTTCATAAATAAAAAAGTTATGTCAAATTAAAGAATCACGTCGAACGAAGTCGCGGGCACAGCTAGTCCTATCTAAATATTACAAATCAACAGGACTTCTAATTATGCTCCCAATTTTTTTGACCTATTCATTTCCCCCAAGGGACGTTATGGCAAATTTGTTTCTGATGCAGTCGTAAAAAACTTTTACGTCCAATTTGGCGTACAAAACATGTAGTAAGGCCAAATAAATAAATATATTTATACATATATTGAGGTACGCGTGATCGAAAGTGTTAAATACAATTTGGCAATGTCTCTCAATGCGTGAAATTGACGACGGATTTATTGTCTTAATTTTGTTTAGGCCTTGTACTATGATGCTGACGTACATGAACTAGCTGTGACCGTGACTTCGTCTGGCAATTTTTAATGATTATAAAGGAATTTTCTATAGTAAAAATATCCTATGTCATTCTATATTACAATAGCTTTTTACCAATGAAACTAACGTCAAAATTGATGGAGGGATTTTATAGATTGATAGGAACAAACAGAATGACAGACTAACATCATCATCATCAGCCTATCGGAGCTGAAAACCATTACTGAAAAGCCTCTTCTCACATGGAGAAGGTTTGAGCATTAATCACCACGCTTGCTCAAGACGAGTAGGCGATTCCAAACTTATAATTGTGAAATTAAAAGTCCACGTTTCCTCACGATGTTTTCCTTCATCTATCAGTGATGTCTAAATACTGTTAGAAAGTACATATGAGTCTTAAAAATCATATTGGTATTTGCACGGATCGAACCCGCGCACTCGTGCATGGGAGGCGAGCCTTCTAACCACTAGGACACCACTGACTATATATCAAAAGTAATATTTATAAAACTTCAATCTTTAATATAAATTTTTGAAAGATGTTTTCGTTTAATAATGAATTACAAAGTTATTAGAATTTTCAACAACAATAATTTTAGCACAAAGTGTTCAGTGACATATATTTTCTTTGATATACGACATTTCATTGCTCTGTAAATATACAATACTAGTTTTTGTCCGCGACTTCCTCCCCGTTAATTTCGTCATTAGTAATATATGTATAGCTGACTGAGCGAACTCTATTCCGACATAGAGGCCGTAAATAACCAGATATTGGAATTTATTAAGTCGTTTTTTCTGTTTCGATCGAACAGTATTAAATATCCTATGTCCTTTCTATGTTCTAATCTATCTCTCAACCAATCTTCATCCAAACCCGTACGGTCGTTAGAGTTGTAAATAGTGTGACTAACACGACTTTCTTTTATATATAAAGATTACTAGAATTTTGACAAACAACAATTTTTAAGTTTACATGTTTGGTAGCTTGTATTTTTTATATACGATAGCTTTGTCAATATATAAATTGCGAACATAGTAGGGTGTAATAGCTAGTCTATATTTATTCAATTTCATTATTTATTAAGTTTATTTTCAACTAGCTTTCCGCCGACAGCTTCGCCCGCGTGAATTTCGGTTATATCGCGTTACCAAGAGAATCTTTCAAAAGTTTGGGAAAATAAACTATCCTGTTCTTTTTCAAGGTCAACTCTATCTCTGTACCAAATTTCATTAAAATCAGTTCATTGGTTTAGGCGTGAAAGCGTAACAGACAGACAGAGTTACTTTCGCATTTATAATATTAGTAGTGATTAATAATTAATAGGTTTGTTAATCTTAATTGCTCTTTATCCTGTCTGTCTGTCTTGTGAGGAATTTTTATTAGTTTCTATCTATTTATACGCGTGACTGACCGCACAGCATCCAAATGCGTCGAGCTGAGATCGATTTATTAGTAAACATCTGTACTTTCATAATGATTATTGATTAATTGTTATAAAAAACTTAAAATATAACGAAAATAGCTTTCCGCCCGCAGCTTCGCACGCGTGGCCTTCGGTTATATCGCGTTTCCAAGAGAACCTTTCCAAAGTCTGGAATAAAAACTATCCTATGTTCTTTCTCAAGGTCAATTCTATGTCTGTGCCAGATTTCATTAAAATCAGTTCAGTGGTTTAGGCGTGAAAGCGTAACAGACAGACAGACAGTGTTACTTTAGCATTTATAATATTAGTAGGGATTGAGACGAAATTCCATAGTTTTATAATATTGAATGAAATCTAAGATTTTCGCGAGTCTTCATTTAAATGAAAATATTTTTCGGATATACTACGCGATTTTTATTTTTGATTATAAACTACATACTCCCAACGTTTCGGTTACTTTACAGCAACCGTGATCATTAAGACGAGATGTGAGTCATCTCACAATAAAAATCGCGTAGTAAATCCGAAAATATTACTTTAATTTCTATTATATTTTTTCATCAGAAGTCTATTCTAAAAGATAAAACGAGATTTTTTTAATATAAATTCAATTGGCTTGGTAAAACGTAAATGTATCCTGAGATGATAATTCAAGAAGAAATATGTAACAGAATAATTAAATAATTACATGTATATTAGAAATAGAAGTAGAAGAATTATATCAGAAAGATTATAAGTATCGGGAACTGCGATGTAGTTCACTTTAAGACAAATGAATAGAAAAAAGTCAGTTTTTTAGAAGTCAAAAGGATAAACTAAAATTTGAACATTATAATAAATTAACTAACTGTTTAACGTATGAAGAGAAACTTGATTGATTTTAGTTAAAACCTGTTTCAATGGACTAAATATTTGTGAGTGAAAAGATAAAATATATACATATATTTTCACCATTACCTGTTAACTTCGCTTCGCATAATATATATAAGTAGGGTATAGTCGCCAAATTTCGTCCCCAAGCTTAATTTCGTCCCCATTGGTTTCTTTTTTTCTAAGTAACATCATCTAGTTTTAATAGTTGAAATCTAAAGTTACTTACGTCAGTCGGCCT